CTGAGTGTGGGTGCTAAATGCAGCCAGGAAAAGAATTCAGGGGAGATTTTCATGTGTCCTTATTGGAAGAGAAGTTTTAATTCTGCAAGGGAAACGTGTGTTGCTTTTTAAACCCCCAGCAGTTGTCCTTCATGTGAATACATCTATTTTTTTACCTGAATATTTTTATTGATTTTAAACCAAACCACTAGGCCTACACTCATCAAACTGGTCTTGTAACGATTCCTAGGTCTGTTTTAACCAGCTTTCCTCAGGTTTTTGGCCATACAGGATCTTTGTAGCTCTTTTGTCTGCACTCCTCTCGGTGTTTACAGTACTCACACTGTGACTCACAAGTGCACTCCACAGGTACACGATGAACAGCCACAGGAAAGCCTTACAGTTGTCAATTGTGAGCAATATCCCTCTGCTCTGCCTGCCAGGGCTGGAGGAACCTTTGGTACAGCTGCTCTGAGCTTGCTCCTAACACTGCTCCTGTTCCTCAGGCTGAACAGGGCAGTTCTGGGTGACCAACTCTTAATTAACCAATGTAAAATCACTATAAAATGGACTTGATCATAACCAATGGGGCAGTTGGAACCCTATTTTAAACCAATAATCCATTTTACATAGGAAATGATTACAATTCCTTCAGTGTACACTAGGACTGGCCTCTCCACACTGGTTTTGTTCCCTGGCACAACTTGCATCCCTGAAAACAGCTTCCTGGGTGCTGCTGCAGTGGGGACTGTCCTGCACAGGGGCAGTGGGCTGGGTTGGGATTTCTTTCTTTGCAAGGGGGATTCCTGTGACTGTCACAGTTGGGAAAAGGGAAGAGGCCTCGTGTTGAGCTCCTGACAGGGTGGGAGGTAGGAGATGGAGCCGTGGGCATTCCTCCAGTGGGAATAAAGAGTGCTGTTGCCTTTACAAATCTGCCTGCCTGGCATTGCCTGTCTTCTGCTAAGCTTTTCAAAGGTTACAAGAGGGGTAAAAATAGCATTTTTCAAGCTGACTTGTTCTGGTTTTATATTTAAACTAAAGAACATTGAGCACTTTCAGCTGAAGTTTTGTTACGCTCCTGCTTCTTAGTCTGGGACTGTAAAATAAATTGGATTAGCTTTTGGGGTTTTTTTTTTTTTTTTTTGCTTTCTTTGACATTTGTATCATTCCAGCTAAAACTAGAAGGCCCTGCTTCCCTCAGCCAGGTGCTGCTTCTCTTAAAGACTGGCTTAACCCTTTCAGTGCAAGATGGACATGCTCTGTGTGCTGGAAGAACAAACCAAAGGTACTGCACATTACACCACATACAGGTATTTTTTCTCACACTGTATTTGGAGTCTTTTTTTTTTTTTTTTGCTAATTATCTGTCTTTTTGTACATTAAAGTGACATTATAATCTATGAAATTCTCCAAGGTAGTTCTGGCTTAGTGTGAATCAGACACACAACCCCCAGAACCACTTTTTGGACTTTTTCAGCCAAGTTTTGAGTCTCCCTGTCTGAGAAGGGGGAGTCAGTACAACACAGAAGTCAAGGCAGTGAAAAGCAGGAAACCCTGTTCATTTCTCTGCATCTTCTTGTAAGAGAGGAGCAGAGGGTTCTGAGTGTGTTTAATATTAAGCCAAGACTCCTGTGTACCAACAGAGTCCAGTCTCTCTCTGAGGCAGCTTGAGGCTGATGTAGGAAAGAGAAGCTCAGATTTACAAACACCTGTAGCTTCTAAAACTATAACCAGCTTTAAAAGTGGGTTGTTGCTGTTAGTTCCTGAAAGCAAGACTATGTGCTTTTTCCCTGCTTTTTACCCCATTTCAAGGCTTCTTACATCAGCAATTAATGATTTTGTTTATTTGGAAACCCTTCTTACACTGCTTTGGCTGAGTTTTGATTCATAGCTGAGCTGCTGGAAACTGCACAACCATTGTAGGATGTGCTTCTGTCGTGCTGTTAAATGGCTCCTTGCTGACAAACATCCATGAAAACATTCCCCCAGCACTGCCATCCTTTCCCTGCCATCCCACTAAAAACAAGGTAGGAGCCACGAGGGGGCCAGAGGTGGGAATCAGGACAGCCTCGCCCCTTTCCAGCCCAGTTAATAACAAACAGCACAGCCATGAATAAATGAGAGCCTGGATTGTTTACTGAGCGTTTTATTTGTACAAAGAGGCATAGCAGGGCGTGAGGAATGAGAGCAAACAGGAATTCTGCTCCTGGGAATGCAGAGCTGAGGCTGGGAGCTTCACCATCCACCCCCACGAGCAGCACAGGCTGCAGGCCAGGCTTCACAGCGATGAAGGACCAGGAAAAATCAGGAACACAGGAATCAGTGAGGAAAAGGAGGAGCAGAAAGCAATAGAAAGAAGAGTGCTGCCTTGCTGCCTCACTCTTGGATTAACAACTCCGTCTGCTCGAGGCCAGGCTCACTCTGTCATTTCTCAAAACAAAGAAAATCCCTGTTCAATGCCAGCACTCTGTGTCCTTGAAACAGAACAGAAAACACCTCAGATGCAGCACGAGGGCTTGAGAACAGGTCAACAACAATTGTTCTGGAAGTTACATTTTAAAATTCTAAATAAATTACTAAGCAAAACGCCCCTATGTTAAATATTAAAATAATAATCAGTAAAATCCAGTTACTACTTGTAGCAGTGCAAAACAAAATAGCAGCTTTTGTATGGAAGTGGGATTCAGTGTAAACACTTGTTACTGAAACTGCATCAAATGGGTCTGGCTGGAGCTCAAACTCTTCCAGAGCCTCTGCCTGGCTTGCAGACCTTTGGAGGCTCCTGTTTCCAGGAGCACAGTGCCCAGCACATGCTGGAATCCCTCACCTGCACCCCAGTTCCCAACAGGCTCAGCAGGGCTGGTTTGATGGGAGGTTATTCGGGGCTTTTCAGCCAGGAGTTAAAGCAAATAACGTTGGGAATGAGAAGCCTGGCTTGGGAAAACTACACCAGGATCAGCTCATGCATCATGTTCTGCTCAGAGGCTGGAATGGACCAGACCCTCCCCCCACTGCTGGCTGGGTCACTGAGCTTTTACCTTTGGAATAGTTTTGAATGGGACCTTAAAGCTCATCCTGCCCTGACAGGGACACCCCCCACACCCCAGGTCGCTCCAAGCCCCGTCCAACCCTCAGGACTCAGCGTTCACACAAGGACCTGAATTAATCAGAAAGCAAAAAGCAGACGTGGCGTGACTGAGCACGTGGAGCTGCTCCTCGGACAGTGTCCCCAGTCTCGCTCTGTTCTTGTGCCTGCACGCCCCGGGGATGCTCTGGAGCACACGGGGTGGGATCAGCCTCGCCAAAACGCCGCGATTTGGGAGGCGTTGCTCAGCCCCCGCTCCGAGCCCGGCGGGTTTGCTGCGGACACGCCCCAGGAGCTCCAGGAGTGTCAAACTGAGGGAGAGGATGATTTCCAGCACCCGGCCAGACCACCGCTGGAAGCCACATCACGATGGAGCCGCGTGATGCGGCAGAGATGGGTGAAAAGCCACGCTCGCATCCTCAGGGCATCCCCAGCAGCTGACGAGAGCGGAGGGGAGAACCGGGCGGCACCGGAGCGGTGGCGGCACGCTGGGTAGCGGAGGGGAGAACCTGCTGGGTCCGGAGCGGTGCCGGCGCGGTCGGTACCAGGCGGGAGAACCGGCAGGACTGAAGCGATGCTGGGATGGTGGATGCCAGGTGGGAGAACCGCGTGGGATGCAGCATTCTCTCGACGCCCCGGCGGCTCCCGCTCCGCTACCGCCGCCGGACGGGCCGGTAGACACAGATGGCCATGAGGATGATGGTGAGCAGGAGAGCGCTGAGGATGCTGCCCAGCAGCACTGCGGCGGGAAGAGAAAGAACATTAATTAAACACTCCCTGAGCAACTCCCGAGCCCCGGGCCGGGTCGTGGCGGGGCTATCCCCGGTGCCCCCCGCTCCTCACCCAGGTTCTGGTGCTGCAGCACAGCGTAGGGCCGGCTGCGCTCCGCCGGGCCCGGGGACAGCGGGGACAGCGCCCAGCCCCGCGCCGCCGCCAGCCCCATGGCGCCGCGACAGCCGCGGACCGCGCCGGGGCCCGGGCTTTGTGCGCCGGACCGGCCCCGGCCCTGCCCCTTCCTGCCGCCCGCCCCGCCCCGGGACCGGCCTTCCGGGGGAGCGGGGACACGGAGCGGCACCGGGAGCGGCACCGGGAGCGGCACCGGGAGCGGCTTCGCCCCGCGCCCGCCCGGGGCAGACCCGCGCGTCCACCCCGCGCCTCCCTGCACCCCCATGGGCATCCTCTCCTCCCCAGCCCCTGTGTCCCCCCAAAGCCCCGTGTGTCCCCCCAAGCCCCCGCTGTCACGGATGTGGGTTTTCCCGGTGTTTTACGGGCCCCAAATACCCAGGAACGGCGATGCTGCTCTGGGAGCGGCGGGACTGGCGGCTGATTGACACCGGCTCAGCCCGACCCAGGGTTTCGTTTTTAAATGAGATATTTAGGTCTTTTCCCTCTTCAAATGCCTGTTCTCTGCGGCAGAGGCACCGACCCGCCCGGCTCCAGCAGCACCTGGGACCCACCCCCGGGCTCGGGCGATTCCTCCGCCGGGTTTGGGATCTTTGCAGCAGGACAAGGTGTGTCTGGACAGCGACGTCTCACCTGTCCCCCAGCCCAGCACGGCGCTCCATGAACACAGCACTGCGAGCTGCGGCTCCTCTCCCTCCCCTCATCTCCGAGCATCAGCATCTTTATTTTCCAAACACGGCACGGCTACAGACATGCACGGGGGAACCTCCGAGCGAGGCAATTCCTCCGTCTGCTCCGGGAGCTGGGGTTCTGCTCCAACCCCGGGCGCTTGGCCCCTTGGCTGCCAGCCGGTCCCGTTCTCCCTGCCGCGGTTTTCCTGCCAGCAGCGAGAACGGGCTCTGCTCCGCCAGGACGTGCCGGGGATGCTCACGGCGATGCCGGGTGCGCTCCGCGGTGAGGATGGCAGCTGTCCCTTCGCTGTGCCAAGGAGGCAGCCCGAGCAGCCTCCGTGTCCCCCGGCCGTGCCACCGCGCTACAGGACGGGGGCCATGCCCAGCCCCTCTGCCTGGGGGGCTCGCATCAGCTTCTCGGGCCGAATGCAGACGGCGAGGCGCTGATTGAGAGACAAAACCCCCCGCCGTTCCTTCCTGGCCTGCCCTTCCCAGGGCGGCTCTCCCGGTGGGATTTAATTGCCAAGCTGCCCGGCTTCCCAGCCTCGGGTGACCCCAGTGGGGTCCCTGCCCACCCCAGCCCACCCAGGAGCCGTGGGATTGTCAGTCCTGCTCCTGACCTGCTTGAGGGACCCCGGTGTCCAGACGAGCTTGTACACCATGTAGAGGGGGATGCAGATGAAGGACGACGCCCCGATGAGGAATCCCAGGGAGATGCTCCACTCGGGGTACTGGTACTCAAAGAGGGTCAGGGGTGGCTGGTCCAGGAGGGAGCTGATGACAATGAACTGTAACGAGCAGAGCCACAGTGGCCTCGAGTCCTGTGAGCAGTTTGGGCTCCTCACACCAAGACAGACATGGAGGGGCTGGAGCAGGTCCAGAGAATGGAACAGAGCTGGGAAAGGGGCTGGAGCACCAGGAGCAGCTGAGGGAGCTGGGGAAGGGGCTGAGCCTGGAGAAAAGGGGGCTCAGGGAGGATTTTTTATCTCCCTACAACTCCCAGATGGAGGGTGGGCTCTGCTTCCAGGGAACTGATAGAACCAGAGGAAATGGCCTCAAGTTGTGCCAGGTTATGTTGGACATCAGGGAAAATTTCCTCACCAAAAGGGTTCTCCAGCCCTGGCACAGCTGCCCAGGGTGGAGTCCCTATCCCTGGAGGGCTTTTACAGACGTGTGGATGTGGGCCTTGGGGACATGGGTTAGTGGTGGCCTTGGCAGTGCTGGGTAATGCTTGAACTCTTTGATCTTTGAGGGCTTTTCCAACCTAAATAGTTCCCTGATCTCCCCAGTTCACCCCACAGGTTATCAGGGTACAGGGATGGAACAACATCATCTTTAAGGTCCAACCTAAACCATTCTGCAATTCCATGATTCTATGAGCACCCTCCACGTCCTGCTGCTCCCGCTGTCATCCCAAATCCCAGCCAGCACGGACATCACAGGGACATCTCCCAGGCTGCCACCCCTGGCTGGGTGAGGGCTGGGGGGCTCTGTCTAACAAACCCTGAGCCGGTGGCCTGCGAGGGCTGCTCAGCCCCGTGCTGAAACAAAACCATTTGCTGTGTGCTTTGATGATAATACTCCTCTCTTAATAACCAGGGCAAAGTGCTTAGAGCCATAATTAATCCTCACAAGGCCTCTTCTCCTGCAGATCCAGTGAGATTAGACCCCTCTGCCGACGGCAGCCTTTGAAGTGCCGTGGGAGCTGGCATTTCAAAGGGACAGATCCAGCCCAGCACAGGGAGATGGACTCGTGGCCAGCCCTGCCAGGGGTGCTGCGTGCTGGGAGGATGAGGCTAAGCTGAGCTTGCACCTGGGTGAGCACCCAGCTTTGCCCAGGAGCTGTGGAAAAGGCTGGAATGTGAACTTCCAGCTCCCTTTCTCGGAGAGGTCCTGGGGATGTGGGCACAGTGGCAGTGCCCCTGGCTGGAGCAGCTGGCATGAGGTCCCTCAGCCCTGTCTGCTCTCCTGGCAGCTTGGTCACCTCGTGTGGGTGAGAGGGGAGTTATCCATGGCACGGGGAGCTGGGCAGCAGAGGGGAGTGACTGTCCTGTGGGGTGTCCAGAGGGACAGGGATGACCTTGTCCATAATTTGGCCATGGATACTCACCGCCAGCAAGGCTGGGCTGATGGCAACCCAGCACAGCTTCCAGAAGAGCCCTGGGCTGAAGCCCAGCATGGCTTTGACATCGTGGGAGAACCTCTGGATCCCTGCCAGAGGAGAGAGCCCTCTCAGCCCCAGGATCCCGCTGGGGATGTGGGGTCGGGGGTATCCACACGGACACAATGCCCTCTGTTCCCATCCCAGCCTGGCCAGGAGCCACACACGGGATCCAGTGCCAGGGATTTACTCACCTGTGCAGGGTCACACACCTGTGTAGGTGGCCATGGAGTGTTTTCCACCACAGAGGCAGTTTCTTACCATAAAACCAGGAGACAGCGATGGTTTCCAGCAGCACCACTGCCAGGATGGAGCAGCCAGCACCGAACTCCTCCAGCAGCTTCACCACGTAGGCTCCTCCCTGGAGCAGCAGGAGGAGGGGGAGGCTGCAGACCCCACGGGGTGAAGGAGGGCGTGTGGGGCAGGGCAGGGTGGTGCCAGTGGAACTCACGTAGGTGAGGGTGCTGAGGGAGCCCAGGAAGCAGACTGTGATGAGGCCGAGGACGAAGAGCTCCCGTCGCCCTGCCAGGACCTGGGGGTACTCGTCCATCACGGCCGTGATCACGGCCTCCAAGCCTCCAAACTGCCAAGGAAATGTTGGTGTGGGGTGGGGAAATGGGATGTGGGGACAGCCCTGCTCTCCAAGAAAATCTGCATGGCAGAGCGGGGATGTCCCATCCCATCCCAGCCCATCCCCTCCCATCCCATCCCAGCCCATCCCCTCTCATCCCAAGGCCATAACTCCCTTTGTCACTCCACTATCAGCCATGGGACATGGCCACCCCCGTGGTGGGGACACAGCTGGGCTGTCCCCCCTACCGTGCTGTCCAGCCCCAGGGTGATCATCATCAGGAAGAAAATGATGGCGAAGAAGGTGGATCCCACCATGTTGGCAATTGCTTCAGGGTAGGTGATGAAGAGCAGGCTGGGCCCTAGGAGGGGACACTGGCTTGCTTGGCTGTTCCCTGGCACAGCCCTGGGGGTGGGAAGAGGCTGCTGGAGGGAGGAGAACCTTTATCTCTGGCGACATCCTCCACCTCCACGTCCCTCATCTCGGCCATGTAGCCCAGCACGGTGAAGATGACGAAGCCCGAGAGGAAGCTGGTGAGGCAGTTCACAGCACTGGTGACCAGCGCATCCCTGAAGGCAGAAAAGAGGCAGAGACCCCACTCCAGGTCAGCCCTCACCCCACTCCAGCTGCCCTGGCCTTCCCCCACTCCACTTCCCTCTCCTGGCCTGTGACACCAAAACCATCAGTGAAATGGGGAAAGCTGCCCAGCCTGCAGCCACGGGGACCAGGAGCTGTTGGGATGTGGCAGTGGGGACCAGGAGCTGTTGGGATGTGGCAGTGGGGACCAGGAGCTGCCAGAACGTGCCTCCCCTGCAGCTGTGCCCCCTGGGATGGACCCTCACCGGTAGCAGTTGTTGTGGAAATGGTTGTAACTGGCCAGAGCAAGGATTACTCCAAATCCAGGGCCCAAGGAGAAGAAAATCTGTGCAGCAGCATCCACCCAAACCTGGAGGGAGACACAACAGGAGAATGGGCAGGGCAGGAGGTCCTTGGGGCTGGCATGGAGCTCGAGGTGCCCCCCAGTACCAATGGGATGGATGGATGGATGGATGGATGGATGGATGGATGGATGGATGGGAGCCCTGAGCCTGCCATGCCCACTCCTGCTGGCACATTCAGTGCTGGCAGCACGGCCCTCATTACCTTTAATGAGAATTCTCAAGTGCTGCCTGGTAATTACCCACAGGAAGCCCATTGTCAGCCCAGGGGGGGAGCACAGCACAAACAAAACCGGCCAGAATGAGATGGGTGATTCAATTATGGATTTACATTTCCAAGAGCCTGTCCAGGGCACCTCGTTTCTGTGGGAACAAGGGCCCCATTGCCCTGTGCTGGGGCCAGACCCGTGGGCAGGGTTGGGTGGGTGTCCTGGGCAGGATTCTGGGTGTTGCCATGCCCAGTGGGTGGGTGGGTGTGCTCTGGAGGGCTCTGGGTGCTGCCATGCCCCGGGCAGGGGGTCCCACCCGCACTCACCGCCGTGCTCAGGAGCTTGCCCCAGTCTGGGCGCAGGTAGAAGACAACCCCTCTCCAGGCTCCAGGCAGGGTGGCCCCTCGGATGAGCAGGATGAGCAGGACGACGTAGGGCAGCGTGGCTGTCACCCACACCACCTGGGGGGAGGCAGGTGTCACCCCGTGTCACCACAGAGCACCCAAACCCCGTGTTGGGCTCGCTGGGGGTGGCCTCAGGAGCAGGGGATGAAGAGGAGGTGACATTCCCTCTTCCACAGTCAGGTGGGTGGCAAGATCCTGGAGGTGAGGGGTCCCCTCCTGCCCTGGCAGGGCGGTGCTGGAGCCCTCCTCACCTTCCCAGAGGTTTTCACCCCTTTCCACAGGCTGAAGTAGACGATGGTGAAGATGAGGAAGAGGCAGAGGAGCAGCTGCCAGCGGATCCCCCCGATGTCATACAGACCCCCGGATTTCTGGATCTCCAGGACCTTCCTCCTGCAGGCAGGGATCCCCACGGCTGGGAGCAGGCTCAGCCCCTGGCAGCCAGTCCCTGAGCTCCTGAGGAGCATCCCCACCCCAGAGCCCCCTCGGGGACGTGACCAGCTCACACCATCCACTTACGTGTAAAACTCCTCGGCGGGGGACCTGGAGAGGTTGCTCCAGGTCACGTTGCTCTTCCCAAAGTAGTTGGTGCAGTCAGGGGTGTTCCAGGGGTTGTCACAGCTCGCCCAGGGCAGCGTGCCCGAGAAGGACGAGTAGAAGTAGTAGAGAGCCCAGGCAATGATGGTGTTGTAGTAGAAGGAGACGTAGAGGCCGATGATGCAGATGGCAAAGCCGATGCCTGGGAAAAGCAGGATCGGGCTCAGCCCTGGGACTGAGGGGCTCTGGGGACCTGCTGGGGGCCACGGTGTCACCCCAGCTGGGGGTGCCTCACCTTTGAAGATGGGGCAGATGCGCTTCCAGATGGGGATGGCACCTGTCCTGTGGAACTGCCCCAGGGCCAGCTCCATGTAGAAGAGGGGCACCCCCCCAAAAACAGCCATCAACGTGTAGGGGATGAGGAAGGCTCCTGCAGGGTGGGAAGCAGAGCAGGGTGAGCACCAGGCTGCCAGGGGACCATGGCAGTGTCACCTCCCTCCCTCCTGGCACTGCCCCAGCAGGTTTGGATGTGTTTGTGAGAAGCTTTGGAAATGATCTGGTCAGAGGAGCTCAGAGATGTGAGACCCTGCTTGGTGTTGCAGCTTCCTGGGCTCCCAGGACAGGTCCCAGCCCTTGCTGGGGAGGCCAGGATGGAACAAAGAATCACACAAACCATTAGGGAGAGGACAGGGGAGGGGACACCCAGCACCCCTCAGGTCTGGAAGAGTTTTGGAGGAAAATCTGACTGAATATGCACAGCCACCCCAAGACACATAATTAGCGCTGTAATCTGCATTATTCATGACATCCTCATTTTTACTGGGGCTACACTTGTACCCCATGGAGCTTTTGGAAGTGGAACTGCTCTCTGAGTTCTGCTGGGATTAGTTAATTTAACCCCCCCAGCTCCTCCCTCTGACAGATGTGAGTGTGATGCACCCCAACATTCCCAGTATCCCCAAAACCCCCAGCACTCCCAGTATCCCAAATATCCCTGTCACCTCCAGCTTCCCAAATATCCCCAGCACCCTCCTGCAGCCCCCCTGTCTGCCTGGCAGGACTGGCCCAACAGGACCAAGTGTTTTCAGTGTTTTCCTTCCAGGCAGAGCCTGAATTGTGGGTGAGTCCAGTGCTGCCTATCCCAGTGTTCCCTCTCCACGGGGCTGTGCTCCTCCAGAGCTGCTCCCTGAACTCCTCATCCTCCTGTGTGTGGGGCAGGTGGAATCCTCCCACCCAAACCACAGGCACACAGAGGGGCTCAGCTCTGCTCCCAATCCCACAGGAGCAACTGGCAAATAACTCTGTTTCAACGTGGGCACCTGGGATCCACAGTTTTGCCTTGAGTATGGAACTAATTATCTCTTTCTAATTTTCCCAAGCAGTGGAGGATGCTCCCCGAAAGCCAACTTTGGCAATTAAATCCGCTGCGCTTTCCCAAACAGCACAAAATTCTCATCCCTCCTTTTTCATTTCCATGTGAGGGGGGTTTCTATCCTGCTCCATTCTGAGCAATTTATTTAGCTGTCATTTACTGAAGGTTTTTCCCTTTGTGGTGTTTGTGTCTTCTCTTCCCACTGATCCCTCAAAGCCAGGGCTGCTCGTGAGGTGCAGCACTGCCAGCCAGGATCCACAGCAGGAGGGTGGGATGCTCATGAGGATGATTTTAAACCAGGAGACATCCCAAAGAGCAGCTGCCCAGAGTCCCAAAATCATCAAGTGTGTGAGCCTCCCAGCCCAAATTTACGGGTCTTTATCCTTTTTTGCAGTTTGGGCCATGCTAATTTTCCCTTTGTGATCCTAGAGCTGCTAACGCACCTCTAACCCCGCTGGGAAAGGAAGGAAAGACCAGAAAAGGAGGAAAGGACCCCAGGGAAGGAGGATGGAGGGAGTGGAGGAGGATTTTGAATGAAGAAAGACACAATCAGAAAAGAGACAGATGTCGGGAGAAGTTGGGTCGGTCTTTAAACCGCCCTGTCTGAAGTGGAGCGGCTGGAAACAAAGAAGGAGAAGAAACAGTGAATTCTTCAGGGTGGGAAAGATGGAAAACGAGCAAAAAGGCATCATTTCTCCAAAAGAAGACTTAAATAAGCCCAGTGGTGTCCTTACCCCCTCCGTTCTGGTAGCAGATGTAAGGGAACCGCCAGACGTTGCCCAGATCGACGGCGAATCCGATGACGGAGAGGAGGAAATCCATTTTTTTGCTCCACTTGTCCCTGGGGTGGGTGTGGGGGTTTGGGGGTGCAGGGCTGGCAGGGGGACCCAGGCAGGGCTGCTCTGCCATCCTGCCACCCCGGCAAATCCTGCAGGATTCAGGCTGAGTAACTTGCGAAGGATTTCTGTGTTGCTGATGACAGATCCGAGGAGGGGAGGGTCAGGCTGACAGCGCTTCCCCACCTCCCGCTGGAAACCCACGGCACGGAGAGCAGCCGGCAGGGAAACAGAGCCGTGCTCTGATCAAAGGCAGCCGGGGAGGGCAGCCCCCGAGCCTGGGGACCAGCCTGACCCTGCAGGGACTGGCATCACCTCATGGGGACCGGCAGCATCCCACAGGGACCAGCCTGACCCTGCAGGGACCGGCAGCATCCCACAGGGACCAGCCTGACCCTGCAGGGACTGGCATCCCTCACAGGGACCAGCCTGACCCTGCAGGGACCAGCATCATCCACAGGGACCAGCCTGGCCCTGCAGGGACTGGCATCCCTCACAGGGACCAGCACCATCCCACAGGGACCAGCCTGGCCCTGCAGGGACTGGCATCCCTCACAGGGACCAGCACCATCCCACAGGGACCAGCCTGACCCTGCAGGGACCAGCATCATCCCACAGGGTCCGGCATTATCCCACAGGGACCAGCCTGACCCTGCAGGGACCAGCATCATCCCACAGGGACCAGCCTGACCCTGCAGGGACCAGCATCATCCCACAGGGACCAGCCTGACCCTGCAGGGACCAGCATCATCCCACAGGGACCAGCCTGACGCTGCAGGGACCGGCAGCATCCCACAGGGACCAGCCTGACCCTGCAGGGACCAGCATCATCCCACAGGGACCAGCCTGGCCCTGCAGGGACCAGCATCATCCCACAGGGTCCGGCATTATCCCGCAGGGACCAGCCTGACCCTGCCGGGACCAGCATCACCTCACGGGGACCAGCCTCACCTTGTGTGAATAAACATCACCCTGTGGATCCCACCCAGGGGAGGGGATTCCAGCTCAGTTTTTGGGGCTGAGGTGGTAAAATTGAACTGTGTTTCCTCCTTCCTCCTGACAAATCCTTGTTTCTCTCTCCATGGTGTGTTTTGCTAAGGAGGTGACATTGATGCTCGCAGGGGAAATTCAGGAATCATGGAGTGGTTTGGGAGGGAAGGGACCTTTAAAGGTCATCTCATCCATCTGGGCTCGACAGGTCTCTCTGGGCTGTGAATTGCTGGGAAAAAGCCACATGAAAGTGAAATAACTTCCACAGCTGAGCTGTGACCAGGAGGGGATGGCAGCATCCCCAAAGCCGCCGCTCTGCCCTGCGACAGTTTCACAGCGAAATTCATTGCAGTGAAACGTGTCTGTGCAGGGCTTGCACAGACCTGAGGTCACCGGGTTCTCCCGGGGCTCTGGGGGCCTCCAGCCCTGGCTTTCACAGCCTTTCCCGTCTTTAATTAAAAGAAGCTACAGGAGAGACGGAGCCGGAGCTGCGGCTCCAGGGCCATGGTGAGCGGGTTGCTGTGACGACGTGACGCAGCTGCCGGGCCCGGGAAGCCTCTGGACACTGTTAATCCCTCAGGCACACACACATAGGGACCTGTTAGAAACCTCCAGCTAAAAGCACATCTATATTTTTTCTCTTTTTTTGTTTGTTTTTTTGTTTGTTTGTTTGTTCATGTCTGGCCGGGACCCGTTAGAAACCTCCAGTTAAAAGCACATTTATATTTTTTCTCTTTTTTTTTTTTTTGTTTGTTTGTTTGTTTGTTCGTGTCTGGCCCTGGCTGCTTTGGCTGTCATAGAATGGAATCACAGAATCCTGGAATTGTTTATGTTGGAAAAGCCTAAAAGTGGGTCCAGTCCTGTCAGCCCCTCCACAGGGTGGACTGCACTCCCTCTCCACTGTGGTATCTGAAATTATTCTTGCTTTAAGGTGAAATAATCATTCTTTGAACACCTCTCCTGCTGTGAAACACAGCAGTTTTCTGCTGGTGGGTTACGTGGAGCCACGAGGATGTTCCCCCAGTGAAGGGTTGGGTGGCCGGGGCTCAGGGTGGTCCCTGGGCTGGGGGGGAGTGAGGGGAGATTGGGGGGGTCCCGGCACAGCCCCTCCATCAGCCCCTGCTCCTAAACCTGGTGTGGCTCCCCCCGAGCCCAGCCCCAGCACTCAGGTGAGGGAGAGTTCATCTGCTGTGGTTTGTATGGGATTTGTGCCCCACCTGGCACTTTGCAGAGCCGTGCATCCCAATCCTTCAGAGCTGGAGTGGAGATGAAAGCCGAGGCTGTGGGGGCTGCCAGAGGGGCCGCCCTTGTCCCGGGTTTTGGGATGAAGGGGAGAAATCCCCTCTGGGGAGCGGGGTTTAACCCTCTGACCAAAGACCATCTCGGGGTGTAAATAACAGAACTGAGGCAGCTGGTGCCCTAGCAACTGTGAAAAATAATAGATAATAGAGAATAGAGAATAGATAATAGAGAATAGAGAATAGGTAATAGAGAATAGATAATAGAGAATAGATAATAGAGAATAGGTAAGGGCTCTTTCTCTGCTGCTGGCCCTTCTTTTCTCCGGGTGGTTTATATGGAATGGCTCGGTGGGACATGTGGGAGACCCCCCTGTTCCCACATCCTGCCCCTGCTCAGGAGGGCTCAGCAGATGGGCTCAGGCACTGCCAGGGGTCTCAGGGGTCTGCAGGAAGCAGGGACAGCCCCCAGCATCCCTCCACCCCTTTCCCAGTGTGAAGTAGCAGCTGTTCAAACTCTGGCATCTATTTCAAACTAATCTCCTTTCTGTCCTGAAGAGTCTGTCGTTTCCCTCACACCGAGCTATCAAACCACGCTCGGGGGGGCAGAGCGGGGCCTGACGGAGCATCGGTGGCCGGAGCTGTTCCCGGTGCGGGGTTTGCAGCGCAGGGATGCGCACGCTGCTCTCCGGGAGCTCGCTGTGCTCAGGAGCGCACCGGGCACGGCCGATGCTCCAGCCCGGGGCTGAGCCGAGCCGGTTCAGTACCTCCATCCCTGACAGATCCCCCGGGCTGGCTGGGGAACGAGCCGTGAACGCTCCCGGTGCTCCCGTCCCGCGGCTCGCCCGGCAGCGGGGCAGGGCCGCGCTGTCAAACCCATCAGCGCGGAGCTTTGACATCTCCGCCCGCTTTTAGGAACCGCGAGGTGGAAAGAGCTGCTGGAGGTGGGAGGAGGGCAGGGGGAGAGGTGTCTTGGGGAGGTCATGGAATGGTTTGTGTTGGAAGGGAGCTTATAGAGCAGCCAGTGCCACCCCTGCCATGGCAGGGATGCTTCCACTGTCACAGGCTGCTCCAAGCCCCATCCAGCCTGGCTTTGGGCACTGCCAGGATGGAGCAGCCACAGCTTCTCTGGGTACCCTGTGCCAGGGCCTCACCACTCACAGGCAGGAATTCCTTCCCAATCTCCTGTTTCTCCACCTGAGACGCTGTGGTCAGACAGTCTGTGCACTGCCTCAGCCTCTTACTTCTGCTTTTTCCCTGTTATTTTCCTTATCCAAAGCACAAATCACTTCAGATTGAAAATGCAGAGTTGAAATCCAGCTCCAATCAGATTTAAATTTGAATATCCCTTGCTTTAGAAGTTGTTTCTAAACACCACAATGACTTGATCAGCAGAATGCTTTTATCCCACCTGCTCATCCATGCAGGGAAGTGAATTGTGGTCTTAAAACAGCTATCCTGTTTAAGCCTCAGAGGCAGCAGTGGGAAGTTTAATTTAATTAGCATGATACTCGGAGATGTAACTTAATCACATTAAGAATAGATCAACGTGCTCTCATTTAAGCTCTCCAAGCTCCAGAAAACAGGGGCCAATTGTCTCCCACCTGTCTTTAATCCAGGGAGAGGCAGAATTTTCCAAGGAAAAGGAACCAGCAAGGCTTGGGGGGAGCTTGCCCCTGTGCTTTTTTCCGACGATTTTCTCCCAAGGATTCTGGGACCCATCTGGTCCAGCAATCACATTCCCCCGAGTGACATTTGTGCCAAACGGGTATTTAACAAGCAAATCAACAGCGAAAAGCAAACAGAGTACACGGAAATACAGGTATGGCCTGGGCTTCCTCCTGGCCCCTGCAAGGTACAGAAGGAACCAAATTCAGATTAATCCCGAGGCCAGAGCTCCTTCCTGTCCTCCTGCCGGCTGGGCAGCGGAGGGAACCACTGGGATGGTGGTCCCTGCTGTCATCAGAGGCACCGAGGAGGAGCAAAGCTCGGAGGCAGAGGATGCAGCCCAGCTCTGGGGGCTGCCGGGGGTGGGAGCGTGTCCCTGTCCCTGCCGTCCGTGCCGGGATGGAGCCCCGGTGCAGCGGGGCCAGGCGGGGCCGTGCCGGTGGCCGCTGGCCCGGCGCCACCGCGGTTTGTAGTGATTGGAAACCGGACTGCGGAGGAGCCAGGATGCTGTTTCTATGGAAATGTCCTGGAACAGCAAACCAGGGAAGAGGAAAACAGAGGAGATGGTAATGGAGCTGCAGGCAGGGCACTCTCCGAGGGGCTGTGATTGAGAGGAGGCGTTGGGGGTCTCTGGTCATTGTCACCTTCCCGCTGTGCTGGCGCTGAGCGGAGCGGGCCTGGAAGGCTCACGCCTCAAAGGACGTGGTTGTTTCCCCCCTGCGAGGGACCCCCAGAGCCCGGTCCCGCTGTCCGAGGCCGCACACGGCCCCAGCCGTCCCAAGAGCGGGGACACCCCCAGGGCTCTCCCCGCCCGGTGTCACCCAGCCCCGCCACCACCGTCCGCGGGCACCTCGGGGCTGGGCCGGGGGTGCGGGGGCCTGGCTGGGGTAACGGGGGTCAGGGGCTGGTGGCGACACCGGGGGACGGCTGTGACCGCACCGTGGGACCGGTCCCGGTTGAGACCCGGGCGAGAGCACCGGCCCGGACCCGGCCGCCCCTCGGGCCGGGTGTCGGGGTGTCGGTGCCGGGGCGAGCCGGGGCTGCGGCTGCCGGTGTTACCGGAGCCGGGATAGCGGGGTGCCGGTGCCGGTCGCGGATTGGCGGCGGCGGCGGCCCCTCCCCGGCCGGCGGGGCGGGGGGCGGTGCGGCCGGCGGGCCCGGCCGCGGGGCAGGGCCGGGCCGGGCCGCACTAACGGGTCTCTTCTCCTCATTTCTCCCCGCAGAGGCGGAGACCCGGCAGCGGCTGCTGCGCACCGTGAAGAAGGAGGTGGGTGCGGGACCCCCGGGAGCAGCCCCCGCCCGGTGCCCGGGGAGCGGCGGCTCTGCCCGGGGAGCATCCCTGCCTCCGGCTGCTGCTGCTGCCGCGGGGTTCAGAGCCCCCCAAAAACCAGCCCGGAGTGGGGCCGAGAGCGCAGCCGGGCGCGGTTGCGGGTCCCGGGGGGCGGAGGAGCATCCCTGCAGCGCCGGTGCCCGGCATCCTTGGAAAATCGCCTTTGGCCGGGGGCAGAGCACGCCACAACTTGGGATTTTGCGCAGGGAAAAGGGGCGAGTCCCGGTGCTGCATCCTTCCCTTGGGAGCGGGGATGGGACGAGCCCTCCCGCAGCTCCTCGGCAGGGCGGGGGGCAGCGGGTTCTGGGGACCCCGGCCAGGAAAAGGGGGGGCCCAAATGTGTGTGCCCGCTGCGGGGTGATGGCGTTCCGCATCTCGCCGTGCTCCCCCTTCTCAGGCATCTTTAACTCTTATTAGTTTGTGCGATGTTTTATGCTGAGCTCCGTGTTTATCCCGTGTGTCACACCCGAGCCCACGGTCCATCGAGTCCCGGCGCCGAGTCCTGCCCGGTGCTGGAGCACCGGGGGCTGTTCTCATGTCCTGCTCTGTCCCCGCAGGTCACCTCCCGGGATGTCGGAGCGGGGGGAGGTGTGTGGTGTTTTGTTTCTGGTGTTAGGAGCATCTCGCTGTTTACAGGGAGTGGAAGACACGGCTTGGAGTCGGGAGGAGCAGAGCCGTGGGTGGTGGGCCTGGGGAGGGTGACAGCTCTGCCCAGCCTGACCACTTCCACCTCTAATCCTGTGCCGGGTGTGGTGCTAAGGAATACTACCGGTTGCCTCAGCAACGGCTATTAAACCAGGAAAAGGGTATGACATTTATTTAGCGTTGTGGATAGAGCTGCCATCTCATTATTGCTGTCTGTGGCAGCTCCTGAGCGCAGAGACAGCTGCTGCAGGGTGGGAGCCAGCGCTGCTCCTGCCTTCCCCCTGAGCCTTCAGTGCCCGGCTTTGCTGGCTCCCAGGGCTGGGGGAAAGTGGAGCTGCTCAGGGAGCAGAGCTGGGGTTGGTTCCTGCCCTTCTGCTGGTTTTGGGGGAGATAACGTGGGTTTGGTGAATGTGGGTAGAGCCTGAGGGAGGGAGGGTGCGTGGGGGAAGCCCTCCCGCCCTGTGAAGTGCCACCACGCTGCTGTGAGCTGCATGTTTGTCACCCTCTGGGGCCCTCTCCAGCAGCCCCTTGGTGCTGACACAGAGCAGAGGCTTTTTCCTGGTGATCCCATTGCTCGGGATGTTGGTGTGGATGTGGGTTCCCTGCAGGTACCAGGTGCTTGCCATTCCCTTGGGATTTGCCTTCCACTCCTGCTGGAAGTGCTGCGCTTGGGCAGGGGCTGTGGCTGCATGGCCACACAGGTGAGGGATTTCCATGGAGTGGAATTCCCACTGTGCTCTGGTAGGAATTAAAAACCTGGGAAAACATGGTCCTGTAGGTTATGGAGTTAATTATTCAGCACCATCCCTGAAAACAGGAGCAGGTGGGGCATTCTTGTGCCTGTTGCTCTCTGCTCATGCTTTTGGTTTTCCTTCCTCTTCTAGGCTGACCTCAGGTTAAGTCAGGAGGGTGTGCAGACTCCAAGGAGCAGTAGAAAGGGCCAGCTGCAGAAATTTGGGTGTTTTTTTTCCCCCACTCCCAGGATTTTAGCCTTTCTCAAACCTGCATTATTCTCATTTCACGAGGCCATGCCTGGTTTTGCTCCCTCAGCACAGGTGAGCCCAGCTGAGAGCAGGGACAGGCAGGGCTGTCCTTGGGGAGCTGTGCCACGTCTGTCAGGGCCATAACTGAGAAGACAAACACTGGGAAGAAGGTCTGATCCCAGCAGGGGCAGAAACAATAAACTGGAATTAGCCAGGGCACTGAGCAGCCCTCAGTATTTGGCTGTTGCCATGGTTAAGGCTTCTGGAGAAGTCCTGTGCTGCAGTGCATGTGCAGGTTGAGATGAGCTGTGTTATCTGTCACCATCTTCTTCCTCCCCCCAAGCCCATATGGCCACAATAAATCAAACCAGCCCTGGAAGCTGCAGGATTGACTGTTTGTCAGCAAGGGAAGGAGTGGAGCCTGGCTTGGTGAGGCACCCTGTGTGCTGTTGTGCAGGACAAGCAGCATGGCCAGCATTCTCTGATTTTTGTAGGGCTTTTATCAGATGGTATGAGGCTTTTTCACTAACCCAGAAATGCCCAGGTTTGGAGGGGTGTGGGTTTCCAATTAGAAATATTCCTCTTGTAACCTGTGCTGCTCCTTCTTTTACAAGTTTTGTTCTGCATGGAGGAGAGTCCTGGGCAGGTGTTACCTGTGCCATCCACCCGCACACGTGGCCCTGGAATGTGAGCTGAGTGAAGAGCTGAGTGGTGTGTGAAAGCAAACAGTCATCTTGGTCTTTCTTCTGCAAAAACTTAGTTTATGTTTAACTTGCCACTCAGGAAGCAGCTCTGAGTCTTTACTCATCAGCAACTGTTGAACCTGGGTTGAATATTTTGCTGCCTGTTCTTAGGATTCTTTCAAATATTGGGGTTGACCGCAGCCTGCTTGTCTTCTGCCAGATATATTGTTTATTTTGCAGTAGCTGGAGTGGTTGTCACTGTGTAGCTGTTGACTAATTCCTTCATCATGTGTCATGGGAACAGCAGTCAGTCTCTCCCTCCCACCCTTTCAGAGAAGCCCCTGCTTTGCTGCCATGTTGCCTGGTTTGTGGCTAAATAACACAAATGACTGGTAAGAGCAATGTTTTTGCAGCTTGGGTTTGTTTTTCTGTGTGCCTGCTATTCCAAAATATCAGATTGCAGGCATCAGTGCCAGCTATTTCATTCTGGATGGGTAGAAAATTGTAAATTAATTTAATGTTACTAGGATTTGAAAAATTAATGTTGAGAGCTTTAAGTGTTCTCAAGGCCAGTTTATTTAAAAAAAAAAAAAAAAAAAAAAAAACCGAAAAGGCCTTTGTGTAGCTGTCAAAAGTGTTCAGGCAAGATAAGGATGAGGATGATGAGCTGCAGGTTGGTAATGAAAGCTGCTGTTGGCAGAGGGACCCTCTGATGTCTCTCGAGCACCCAGGGCAGCCTTTTTCAGATATTTCTGTACCAAGAGAGAAGAGAGGGCCCTTAATGCAGCATTTCTCGATTGCCTGCATCGATCTGCTCTGGAGAGCAGCTCTGATCACTGGGGACCATTTCCTCTCCTCTCAGAGATAAAAGCAGGGCTTTGCTCAAGAGCTCTCGTGCTCCACAACCCCCTGCCTTGAGCCTTCATCCCCAGAGCAGGTTTTGTGCTGCTTTCCCCCTTCCTCAAACCTTCCCTGGGCCTGGGGACCCTCTGTCCTCTGCTGCCAAAATTTCCCTGCCCTCCTCCCTCCCTGCATCCTGGCTGTTGCCATGGAAATTCCTGGCTTTGCACAGATTCAGGACTTCGGGGCAGTTTGGAGCTGGAAGTTGCCCTGGGTTTCAGCATCATCCTTTGCCATGTTGCAGTGAGTCCAAAAGACTCTTCAGGGAGCCATCACTACCTTGGAAAAACAGGAGCTTTGGGATGTGCTGAGAGCAGAGCCCAGCTTCGAGGCTGGAAACACAGAAATGACTAAAGTTTGCCTTAAGTCTTCCCTTAAATGTCTGCATTGAGCATTTACAGCGAGCAGTGCCCACAGATGGCGTGGAAATGTGCCTTTGAGAAGCACAACAGGAATAGAACCAGCTATAACGTGATCTCAGGCAGCTTAAATTAGTGTTGCAAGCAGGGATTTTTTTGGCCAAAAGTTGATGCTCTGTGAAGAAAAGTCTTGCTGCAAAACATTCTCAGCAAACACACGTGGCTGGGATCGCCCCTGTGTCCCCCAGGGTGCAATGTTGCATTGTGGATCCTTCCATTAATATGTTTTAAATTAATTTTCCAGCAAACTGCACAAATATTCAGAGTTCTTCTCTTCCTTTATCCCCCCAGGAGCCTCAGCCCAGTCCCCAGCTGTGAGCACAGGTGGTTCCTGGGGAAGGGCTGGCCTGGAATTCCCTCCTGTGTGCCACGTGGAGGATCCCTCAGCTGCAGGAGGTGCCATGTTTTATTCAGCAAGTGGTCATAAATAATTAAATAAGACTTTTAGAGAAACCAGAGGTCTCAGTGGGCTGGAGGGTGATCGATGTTTCGGAGGCAGCAAGAACAGGGAGCTGCCAAATGGCTTTCAAGGCAAGTGCCTGCTGCCATCAGAGCTGTCCCCGTGCTGTCCCCTCATTCCAGGGCCACCAAAATTTCTCAGGGTGTAAATGCTGCTGTGCCCTGCAGCTGGGGGTGTTTTAACTGATCCCAGCACAATTAATTGGGATTTTTTTTTTTTTTTTTTTAGTGGTCAGCCAGTGAGCTCTTGGGGAAGTGGCTGCAGCTGGGGGTGGTGCTGAGCAGGGTCTGGCTCCTGCTTTTGGGATCATCAGGGAAAGGTGGGGAACGTGGTAAGGCAGGAGAAACAGGAAATCCTGCAGCACCGAGCTTGAAAATATGAATTTTATCAACAAGGCTGCTAAAAAAGGGCATTGTAGCAACAAGACAGGCAACAGGCAGACATTTCATTTACAAATGAGAGCATAAATCTGGTGAGAGGTTTCAGTCTGAGGAGTTCTGCTGTAGCTGGAAAAGTGGCTTCAGCTCCAGCCTGGGCAAAGTGCTGAAATATCCCAGGATTTCCCTCCAGCATTCCCTGCAAATTCCTGTGGGCACCAGAAGGACTTGGGGTTTGGAAAAATGTCTTTGTGTCCTGAGGCTGAGCAGAGATTCTGCACTTGCTTTGCCTGGGACACCTTTGGTACATCCAGCAAAACCAGGCTAGCATTCCTGCTGGGAAACATCCCCCTGCAGTGCAGGGGAGGCTGTTTGTCCTTGCAAATACAGCCCTGCCTGGGGGTGTCCTAATGCTGCATCTCAGTGATCTTCAGCATTCTGTAACACCTGAGAAGTGCTGCAGTGTTCCATGGGGGGCTGCTTCCTGCGGGGATTTTTCATGGAAAGAGACCTTGGTTGGGAGAAGCAGTTACAGGAGAGCTCAGACCACAGCAGGGAATTCCCAAATGCACTCGTTGCACCAAAACTGACAAGGGAAATGGGATTTTTTTTTTTTAAGTGCAAGAATTAACTTCAAACACATAATCAAAGCAGTGATGAGAGCGCTGATGAGAATGAGAAAGCTCCAGCTTGGAAAATAATTTGAAAAGCAAATGTACAAAAACAAATCAAGTTTAAAGCCTCTTTCATCAATGGATTGGGTGGTTTAGGGTTTTTTAAAATTATTTTGTTGTTTGTTTGGTGGCTTTTGAGGGCTTGCTGGTTCTCCTGGGCCAGGTGGATTGAACAGGAGCAGTGAAACTGGAAGTGCTGGTAAATGGTTGGGGTCAGTGATCGTGGAGGTCTCTTCCAGCCTAAACAATTCTGTGATGAATTCCATGATTCTGAGGGGGTACAGGCAGTGCAGCTTCCTGGCTCTGGTCCTGCAGCATCTCATCCACCTGATCTGACACCCTGGGTAGAGGTGGGTGTTCAGAGGGAGAGGAGACATCTCCATCCTCATCTCCATCCTCATCTCCATCTCTATTTTCTGCTGTAAATCCTTTGGGTTTGGGATGGGATACCCTCCCACTGCTTTGGCTCCAGTGTGTGGCTGCTGTGCCACATTTTTTGCTCATCCAGGCATTTTTTTGGTGCTGGATGTGGCAGCCAGGCCCATTCCTGGATCTGGTGGCCAGGAGCATCCCCACAGCTGCCCTCAGCCTGTGGCAACGTGAGCGAGCTTGACCCTGGAACAGGACTGGGAAAAGGATCTCCCTGGGGACTCTGTTTGCATCTGGCTTGCTGTAAACAATTTCACAGAGTTGTGAGCTTGGCCAAATAGACAGGAGGTGCTGTGCTTCCAGAGAAATGCCTTAATAACCAGTGAAAGGCTTTGCAAGAGGCAGGAAAATGGGCTGCAAATGATCCAGAGTACAGCTTCTGTAGGGAAAAACCTGACCAGGCACAACAGTTGAGAGTCAGTATTGCCTTGGACTAATTAAACCTGCAGTTCTTGGTGTGCTCCTGGTCCCTGCACCTCGGTGGTGGCTGTGGCTGTGACAATATTTGGTTTGTTCCAGCAGTGCAAATGACAGCAGGGCTGGGTGACAGCAAAGCTGGACTTTGGGTGATGCATATCCGTGGGAATTTTGTAGCAGAGAGGTCTAAGCCTTCATCCTTCATCCCTCCCTGGGGTTGTTGGAAAGGTGAGGGTTTGGTTTCCCTTTCCAGGGGGACTTGTCCTGTGCTCCCAGCTGGAGCCAGGGGGGCTGTTTGTGCTGTTGTGGAATACTTGATGCTATTCCTCTCGAGTTTACCTACAGCAAAATTACTAGTTGCTGTTTTAATTTCCTTTCTAATAAAAGAAGAGCAAACATCTCATTTCCCTAGGCTGGCATAGGATCCAGAGTGGGCAGCTTCATCTGTTGGGATTGTTCTGGCTGCAGTCTGAGAATTAGCATTAAAATGCAGCACACTCAGAGGCTGTTCCAGTCCTCTCTGTGGAGGGAGCCAAGTGTGCCTGAGCCACGTCCCTGTCCCCAGGGTGTCACAAATCCCCTGGCAGATCCCAGCTGTGGGGGGAGAGTCCTTTGGGGTCTGCAGACAGATCTGTCAGGAGCTTTGGGCTTCTCTGGCTCTGAGCTGTCCTACAGATGCCAGCTGTGTCTGTTTGGGTGAATGTAAGGTGGTTTTGTTGGAAAACTTTCTTGGTAGGTAGAGGAAGTTGGGATCTCCTGGCTCCGTTCCCTGGAAGTGTTGATTCTGTTCCCTGGGAGTGCCCAAGGCCAGCTTGGACGGGGCTTGGAGCAGCCTGGGGTAGGGGAAGCTGTCCCTGCACTGCAGGGCTGGAATGGGATGAGCTTCAAGTTCTTTCCAAACCATTCCAGGACTCCAAGATATCCCTTGTTTTGTGTTACAAGGCCATGTCTGTCTGTCTGTCCGTGCTGGGGCTGTTTGTGTTTGTCACACACCAGGTGAGTGCCCTTGTTGCCCTTTCCACTTCCAGTCCTTTAGACTTGATTTATTTTTAGCGTTACAACCTCAGTCAATGCAATGCAATTTTTAATTTTTTTTTTATTTTTAATGAGTAATTTTCCACTAAACTGTGTCTCTTGGAAGGTGTTTTGTTTGTGCCTGGAGCGTGCAGGTGGTTTGTGCAGTGTTGGCACTGAAATGCCCACTCTGAGCCACGTCCTGCTGTCCTGGATGGTCCCAGGCCTGGACAGACAGATGGTCACTGCCCTGGGGAAGGCCCTGAGGCACTGCAGGCATCGTGTGGATGTACTGAAATTTCAAATATTTGAATATACTGCTGATGTTGGAATGTTTCCTGATTGGATCAGAAGCTGGTAAAGACTCTGCACGTTGATTTTCAGGTGTATTTTGTGGAGGTGGAGGGAGTAAAATCCTGATACCACCAGTGCTGCCGTGAGTGTACATTTAATATCTGTGTGTGGTCATTTTCTGGGAGATCAGTTGGATGTGTGAGAGAGAAGGGCTGAGTCCTGCTGCCTGAGGAAGCTCAGCCTGCCTGGGTGAGGCTCAGGAGCCATCTGGACCAGGGGGGCTCAGCCAAATTCCAGGGAATCCCTGAGGGCTCTAAGATGTGAACCTCCCTACCAGGCGTGGTCAGGGCTGGCTCCTGGGCTGGGCAGGGTGTCAGAATATCTCTGCTGGGCATTCCAGGTGGAGGGAAAGGGGCAGCTCTGGGCAGCACGTGGTGGTGGACGCGAGGTGTGTGCTGCTCCCCATCCCTGCTCTGCTATTGCATCCAAGCCTGGGGCTGTGTGGGAGACAGAGGCTCCTCTCCTCTTTGCTGGGACTGGCTCTGTCCCTGTTTCTGATGCTGGAATGTGAAATAAAATGGTGCTGGAGCAAGGAGTGAGGATTGCAGCTGCCCCTTCCCTGTGCCCAGTGTGGGGCAAGGGGGAAGCTGCAGGTGGGAGGTGAGGAAGGAAGGAAGGAGCACCAGGAGGTGCCCTGACCAGGGACAGCAGCAGTTTTGGGACGCAATAAAGCACTGAGGTGGAAGATGGAGCTTTATCCTGGTCCCTGGAGTGTTCGTGCAGGTGGAGTCACTGCTCTGAGCACAGGGCTGGAATTTCCCAGCACTCCGAGGCACCTCCAGTCCTGAGCTCCACATCCCAGTGACATTCCTTGCTGTGACTTCCTGACTCATCCGAGCTGCTGGCATGCAGGGAAGTCTCAGGGCTCTGTTAGTCACCGAGCAGGGAGCAGTGCTGGGATCTGACCTGATGGCTCTGACAGAGCAGCTCTTGGCTCAGAGAGGACTCTGCCCTTAACCCATACTCAGGATTTCCTTTATGGAGCTGTCAGCTGTGTATAACTGACCTTAATGACACCTTGCAGAGGAGTTTAATTCCCCAAAAGATGCCATTAAAGGTCTCTCATTCGTGCCAAGGTTTGCTTGGCCAAGTCTTGACCTGCAGTATTTCCCTCCCTGTGCCCTCAGGGAGAGCACCTCGCTAAGCAGAGCTTCCTTCACACCCTCAGCTCCGTGCTGGCAACACTTCCCCCTGTGTTTTCCCAAACCAAGATGTTAGAGAGGCACTGGAAGATGAGATCCAGGCATGCTGGCAGCTGTGTTTGAAAGGAAAAGTGGTTGGGAAGTGAATGTTTAAGGAGCGAAGATTCAGCTGGGCTTTGGCTGCTTGCAGCAGGATTAGGGAGAGTGACAGCTGGGGATGGAAGTCACTGCCAGAGCTGACCTGCTGGCTCTGACCTCCTGTCTGCTCCCTGCAGCAATTGCCCTCCTAGTTTGTGTGGGGTCCTGTTTGTTTTTGTCCCCTAATCGTGCCCCTGATGAGCACTAAGTGACAGCTTCCTCTGGATCAGCTGAGTGCCAGTTGTGAGCCAGAGAGGGCAGAGCTGCTGGCACTGCTGTGCAAATGGAATTCTTGGGCACAGCTGGTGCCAGGTGATCACTGAATTAGGCCTTGATGGAGAGTTGCAGTCATTTGGGACAGCCATGTCACAGGAAATTTGTCAAACAAAGTGAGAGAACAGAACAATGCTGTAGAAGCCCTAAAGATGAGATTTGTGTACCTTTATTAGACTACTTTATCTAAGTGATGCTCAGTTCCCTCAGTTAATCCTCAGCTCACCGTTTTCCTACTGTGAAGTTTCTCAGAAATGACACAACCCTTTTTTTATACCTGACTTTTTGAAGTAGCTCAAAAAGGTGATGCTCAGCAGACAGAGCTGCATCAATCCTCCATGAGCTCTCCTGTGCCTTTGGGATAAACCTGGGCGCAGAGGTCCACGGCTGAAATTCCATGTTTTCCCTGACTGCCTCTGTCCTGCAGGTGAAGCAGATCATGGAGGAGGCTGTGACGAGGAAGTTTGTGCATGAGGACAGCAGCCACATCATCTCCTTTTGTGGTGAGTCTCCCGTGCTGGCCTGGACTGGGGTTTTGGTGCTGTGCCACTCCTGGGAACACTCTCCAGCTCCAGGACCTTGGGCTGGGGGAGTGGGGAGTGCCAGGGGATGGATTGTTCTGGCAGAGGTCAGAGTCCCTGAGGTCTTTGTGCTTAAAATATACAGGGATGTGTCAAAAGAGGGAGGGATGCTGGCAGTGTGTGCAGCCATTGAGGAAGGGCTAGAAACAATATTTTATTTTTAAATTCCCTTGAGAATTGACCCGCCTGAAAGTCTGTCAAGTCCAAACCTTTTCTTTGCTGTTATGGAATAGGAGTTTATGGAAAGGAGGCTGGGCTTTCTCCTTTTCTGCTGGGCCCTCACATCAAAGACACTCAGGAGCCTGTTCCCAGCCCGTGGCCCCTGTGTGGCTTTGGAAGAGCAGAGCAGACCTCCAGGTGTGACTCATTCCCTGCTTTTCTGTGCAGCACGAGGCTTCTCAAACTGGCATTATTTATAGGCTCCTGTGACAGGGAGCTGAGGCATCCAGGCACGAAGGGCTCCTTGGTTCCTTCTGGCCTCTTAAGATGCTGCTGCTGCATTCCCCTGGTTCCTGGCGTCCCCCTCCTGCTCCATCTGCTGTTCCTCTCACTGGAATGCTTCCTTCACCTTCCCAGCCCGGTGCTGTGGCTCTCCAGGAGCTGGGTGAGCTTATAAATAACCCCTTTCCCTGCCAAGCAGAGCGTGCTGCACGCCTGGCTCTGGCTGCCAGAGCTGCCCTTTTCCCTGGAGAGAGCTGCCTTCCCAGCAGAGCCCTCCTCACGGAGCCCTGGGGATGGAGGCAGTGGTCTGGCAGGGAAGGGCAGCAGCCCCCTTGGTGCCCTGAGGGGGGGTTTGGAGCAGACAAACACGAGCTGGCATCTGTCACGTCCAGGCTGCCCTGGGAGGCTGATGGGGAGCCCAGGGTTTGCTGCTCAGCCCGAGGGGTTTGGATCGTGTCAGAGCTCTGGGCAGCTCAGGAATATCTTCAGTCTTTTGGCAGGAGTCAAAGCTGCCCCCTTAGCTTGGTGTGGCTGAGCAGGGCCCCTGCACCATGTGCATCTGCTGTATTATATTAATAATAAATTATATTTATTATTATATTATATTATATTATATTATATTATATTATATTATATTATTATTATCCTCTGTATTCTGGCTCTGCTGGAAGTTGCATCCTGAGGGGTGAGGAGAATCTCTTTGCAGTGGTGGCAAAACTGAGCTCCAAAACTCATCCTGTTTAAAAACCCTGCCATCACCCCTGGATTTAGTAGAGCATGGGGAGAGTTTTTCCTGTGGAAGCTGCACATTTCCCTGTAGTTTGCCAGCAGGAGAGGTGTTTTGCATGGGTTCAGATCTGGCATTGGGAACAGATGCTGCTGACAGCTCTGGATGCTCTGTGCCAGAGGCCTGTCAGGAGCTGAGATTTCTCCCTGCCTGGCAGGAGCTGGGATTTGCTGCCTGTGACCTGAGCACAGTGAGAGCACCAGTGTTCCTGTTTGTCTGCTGGGAATTTGGAATGGAGCTGGCGGCACTGGGAGCTCCTTTTCTTGGGATTGCAGCAGGAGCAGCCCTGGCTGCTCACCCTCTGTGGGTACCTGAGCTTTCAGCACCAGCCTGAGCTGGGCACTCCAAATGGGCACCCCAGTGCAGTCCCAGGCAGGTGGGGCTGTTTGTCACTTGTATTTCAGCCATGGAGCATAGGACAAATGAGGGAGATGTTGGCTTTTCTGGCAGAGCCATGGAGTGCTTTGGATTTTATTTTATTTGCAGCTGCATATAATCCTGGGACAGTTGAAGCCCTTTGGGCTTTGAGAGGGCTTGTGCAGGGCCTGGTTTCAAAGCCAGGTGTCCATGCAGTGGCTCTGCCTGGCTTCTGGGGGCCCAAATCTGTTGTTCTGCCAGCACAGGCTGTGTCTCACTGCCCCTTGGATGCTGCTGCTGGGCACGGAGATCAGGCATGGATCAGAGCAGGATAATGAGCCTCTCCCAGCTTGGGAGCTGCTGAGATGGGGCTGCATGGAATGCCTTTTTCTGTGTCTCCATGGAGTGGTTCAGCTGTAGGGAAGTGTGCCTTTCCAGGCAGGAGGGGAAGCAGCACCCAGGCTCAGCTCAGCAGCACTGGCTTCTGGAGGAGGGAGCAGAACTCCTTGTCAGACCTGGATCAAGGGCCTGAGGACTGTGGGTCTGTGTGATTTTCCAGTTCTTTGATCAGCCTGTTTAATCAGTCTGTGTTTGGCACCAGACATCCATCCTGAGCCCTCCCAGGGGGCTTTGGGAAGGAGCTGCTGGCTGAGCCTGTCTGCGCCTTTCTGTGGAGTCATTGCTGGTTCCTGGGATCCCTGCTCACCCTGGCAGGGCAGGGAAGGTGTCTGGGGCTGTCTGGGCACTCACTGGGGTTTGGTGAGTGCCTCTGGGCAGAGTTCAGGACATGGAGTCAGGCACTGCCTTTCACAGGGGCTTAATGAGTCCCGTGTCCCTGAGTGCCAACAGAGTCCCCAAAGCCAGACTGAGCTGCTGGCACTGCCTGTGGTTTATCCCCAGGGTCTTTGTTCCTTTCAGCTTTTCAGAGAAATGTTTGTATGAACACTGAGATTTTTTGGGGAAAGTTGCCCCATTTCCTGTGCTGCTTTATAAACCCTCAGGCTGCCTGTCCTTGCTCCTGAGCTTTCTCCTCCTGACTTGTACCATCCCAGCACAGGGAGTGAAACCTCCTGTTCCAGCTGTGCCCATCCCTCAGACTGGGCTGAAGGGAAAACATCAGGGAGATGCTGGTTTCTCCACAATCCACAAGAAACCACATTAAAAAAAGCCCACAAAAAGGAGAGAGTCAGCCTGTTTGCCCAGCACAGCAATTGCCCTGCCTGGGGAAGATGTGGTGCTTGTTAATTCCCATGTGGGATGGGATTACAGTTTCCTGAAGCCAAGGTGGGGATGTCTGCTTCAGATTTACTGTCTGAGGAGTTTCAGGAGCTTCCATCCATGCAAGTGTTCAAGGATAGACTGGATGAGGCTTAGAGCAACCTGATCTAGTAGGAGGGGTCCTGATGAACAGTCCTTTTCTGAATTCCTTGTAATCCCCTCAGATCCTGGGGGGTGCTGTGAGGTCTCAACACAACCTCCTCTTCCCCAGGCTGAACAGCCCCACCTGACTCCATAGGGAAGGTGATCCAGTGACCCCGAGGCTGGCTCAGTTGGGTGGAGCATGGTGCTGCTAAAGCCAAAATTGTGTGGTGCTATAACTGTGTGTTCCATTGATGGGCCAATCCCTCAGAGCGCTGGACTGGGTGATCCCTGTGGCTCCTTCCAGCTGGGGATATCCTGATCCTGAGGCCTGTGCTCTCTCAGCCTGACTCCATAGGGAAGGTGCTCCAGTGACCCAAGGTTGGCTCAGTTGGGTGGAGCACGGTGCTACTAAAGCCAAAATTGCATGGTGCTAACAAATGTGTGTTCCATTGATGGAATCCCTCAAAGAGCTGGACTGGGTGATCCCTGTGGCTCCTTCCAGCTGGGGATATCCTGATCCTGAGGCCTGTGCTCTCTCAGCCTGACTCCATAGGGAAGGTGCTCCAGTGACCCAAGGTTGGCTTGGGTGGAGCATGGTGCTACTAAAGCCAGAATTGCATGGTGCTAACAAATGTGTGTTCCATTGATGGAATCCCTCAAAGAGCTGGACTGGGTGATCCCTGTGGCTCCTTCCAGCTGGGGATATCCTGATCCTGAGGCCTGTGCTCTCTGCAGCCGCCGTGGAATGCTGTGTGCTGTTCGGGCTGAAGCGGAGGGCGGCCGGGTTCCTGCGCAGCAACAAGATCGCAGCGCTCTTCATGAAGGTGGGCAAGAGCTTCCCCCTGGCAGAGGAGCTCTGCAGGAAGGTGCAGGACCTGGAGCAGCTCATTGAGAACGCGTAAGGCACCAGCCTGGCTGCCAGTCCTCTCTGCTCACTCGGGTTTCGGGGTGGGAAGTGTGGTTTGGGTCCAACTTGAGCCTCAACAGGAGGAATTGGTCCCTCAGTCTTCTCCTGGGTTTTTTATATCTTGACCAAACTGGTTGCTGTTCTAGGAGACTGAGTTGTGGCTGTGGTTTAAGCAGGACAAGTTCTAAGTCTCTCTGCCTCTGCTCTGGTGCTTCAGGGACAGCTGAGCACGCTGCTCCTGAGCTGTCACAGTTTATGGAGCAGTTCACCAAGCCAGCTGGAACCACGTTTGGCCTGTCCCAGTGTGCAGGGCTCGAAGCTGCAGTAATTCAGCTGCTGTTTGGGAGAGGATTACTCATCCTTGGACAATTAGCAGGGAGATGGATGAAGCAGCTACCTGCGGGCAGGAATTTTAAGCTGTCCTGAGATGAGCTGCTCTGCCTGAGAGCTCAGCCGTGGAAATGTGTGTGGGCTGGAGGACTGTGCTGAGGGAGAGCAGAGTTCTGGGGTTGTCTTTACAGTGGGGAACTGATTTGGTGACATCTGGCTTCAAATGCAAGTGTGGCCCCTCTGGAGCAGGGGATGGGACAGGGACAGGAAGCACCTCCAGAGCTCTGTTCCAGACAATTCCCTGGGATCCCCCAGCCAAACCCCTGATGGCAGGAGTGCCCTGGGCTCCCTCAGAGTTCAGGGGTGAGCCTGTGGTGTTGTTGTCTCTTGTCTTGTACCTCTAAAGGAGAAATCAAGCCCAGGGGGTCCCCGAGAACGTGCGCAAGGTGCCGAAGCTGCCCAACCTGTCTCCTCAGGCCATCAAGCACCTCTGGATCCGCACAGCCCTCTTCGAGAAGGTCCTGGATAAAATCGTGCACTACCTGGTGGAGAACAGCAGGTGAGCACTGGCACAGCCCACCCATGTCCTGCCCGTGGCCCTGGGGGTGTTGCTGGCTGGGAAATACCTGTATCCACAGGGGCCAGGGAAGTCCCTGCATGGCACAGGCCAGGTGTGTCACTCAGTGCCCATCCTGGGATCTCTGATGGATGCCCTGCTGCTGGTGACCACTGTGCACTCCCTGAAATACAGACAGGCCACACTGGCCCTGGTGGTGGCTGGGTTGTCAGGGCTGCATTGTCCTTGTCTTCTGGGATCTGCGTGCTCAGGTGTCCTGTGCTGGGACAGGTTAGTTAGGAGATGGTGATGCTTGCGATGTGCTGCAGGAGGGTTGCTGCTCCCCAGGAATTTCTCAGCCTGTTTAGGGCTTCTTGCTCTGCCCCCATCAAGGGGTGATAGAGAAAGAGAAGTGCACAATGGGGATTTAAACCACTGTCTATGACTTTGCAGTGCTCCAGCATTCTGCTGTCCTTTATTTCTTCTAGTAAGTACTATGAGAAGGAAGCTCTCCTGATGGATCCTGTGGATGGGCCAATACTAGCATCTTTACTGGGTAACACTTGCTTTACTTGCTTTCCCTCCTTGCTTTCCAAACCCATGCTCCCAAATCTGTGATCTGCAGATGCGGGAGGTAACCGTGGCCGTGGGAACAAGGATGGCTCCCTTATGTTTGGGGTGTTCCTCTCCCCAGTGGGGCCCTGTGCACTGGAATACACCAAGATGAAGACTGCTGACCACTTCTGGACAGATCCCTCTGCGGATGAGCTGGTCCAGAGGCACAGGATCCACAGCTCCCACTGCCGCCAGGACTCGCCCACCAAGCGCCCGGCGCTCTGCGTGAGTGGGGGATAAACCTCTCTGCTCCTCCCACATCCTCAGCATCTGGGCTCCCTTTGCTTGGAAAGGCCTGTGGAGCTCTCTGATGAGGGAAGTCTTTGAGGCAGAGGTGCTGGGAATGTGGCCCATGGAGAGCACTGGTGTGCCAGCCCCTCCTGGCGCTGCATGCCAGGGTCTGTGTCCCTGAGATCATCATGTATGAACAGAAAGCTGAATCTGCCCTGTGCATTGCAAAAATAAGTCACTCCTGGGGCTTCTCTGAGCTTGGACAGAGTATGGAATCCCCTTAGAGGACCCTGAGGGAAAGATTTCTAGTAGTGACTCTCATAAGTGAGGAGGGAATGAGGTTCAAGAGAAGCTTTTGGGAAGCCAGAGGGTGTCTGTGATCACCTCACGTTTGTGAGTGTGTCTCTTGCAGATTCAGAAAAGACATTCCAGTGGCAGCATGGATGACAGGCCATCCCTGTCTGCCAGGGACTACGTGGAGTCCCTGCACCAGAACTCCCGAGCCACGCTCCTGTACGGCAAGAACAACGTCCTGGTGCAGCCGGTGAGTTCTGCTGGGAACCTGGCCTTGGAAACACTGCTCTGCCCCTCAGCACCTTGTTCTGTCCCAGTCTGCTCTTGGATGGAGAAAAGCACATTTTCCATCTGGGAAGGCAGTGAATGGATTGTGTTTGTGGAGGTCTTGGTGATATGGATCCTCCCGGTGGGATGGAAGAGCTCTGCTCCAGCCTGGGAAGCACAGGCTCCTCTCCCTGCCCATTCTTTACCACAAAACTCCTTCTCCTATCTCCTCCTGCTTCTTGTAGTCAAACAGATGAAGTGCCAACTGCTTTTAGGTGGAGCTAATAGGTTTTCCTTACTGGGCAGTTGCTCTCAGCCCTTTTCCAAGGCCTTGAGGTGTCCTGGAGTCTCTACTAGGAGTTTTTCCAGGGACACAGTGGGTTCCTCCCTGTTTGTGACTGGGTGGGCAGGGCTGTGTGAGGGGCCACAACTGGGCTCCAGGGCTCTGTGCTTCTTCCAGCTCAGTGTGTCATGTGTCACTGTGTTTCTCCTCCCAAGCGAGATGACATGGAGGCAATCCCGGGCTATCTGTCCCTTCACCAGACTGCTGACATCATGGCACTGAAGTGGACCCCCAACCAGCTGATGAACGGCTCCGTGGGGGACCTGGACTACGAGAAGAGGTGACTGGCTCTGAGTGTGCCAGAGCAGGGGGGGAAGCGTTCCCCTGGGTCAGAGTTTGGATGCAAAGCCATCACTGTTTTCCCAAAGAAACACCATCATCCTTGAGGCTGTAATGGGAAGGAGGCAGGGAGAGGGTGGCAGGAGGTGGTGTGAGATGTGTCTCTGCTGGGAAGTGCTCAGAGAGGGAGTGTTCCAAAACACACAAAGTGGTTTTGTTTCTTGCCCTGGGGGATTTTCTGAGGGGAATGCTCTCCCTCCCTCCCAGCACACTGTGCTCCCAGGTTTCTCCTGGCTCCAGGAAGGTGGGAGTGTTTAGGACACTGATGCTTTGACCTAGAGATCCTCATCAAAACTTGGTCTCAGTTTCATTCAGTGTCAGTTGTAGTTTTTTGTTTACCTGTGTACTTTTCATCTCCCCTTTCTTCTTGGCCCCTGGGCCGTTCAGTTGTGCCTGGTACCCTCCCCTAAAATCTGTTTTCATCTCTACACTCCTTTTCTGAGTTCTTGCCTTGGGCATCAGCCTAAGCTCTAAAAATTCCCAGTGTCAAGACGTGACCAAGGAAGAGAGGAGGCAGATGGCACAGTAAGTATGACTGTACAAGGAGTCACTCTTGCACACCTTCCTGTCCTTCACGAGCTGTTTTTAATGTTATTTAAGCACTATTTTTACAAAGTGGCAGATGCTGCTGTTGCTCAGAATCTGGAGATATGCTTTGTTGCAAAGAAGTGGGATGTGATTGAGTGCTGACACCCTTGGACAGCGGTGCTGGGCTCTCCACAGGAATGAAACCCTGCCTCTCTGCTCTGTCTGGTGGCCACCAGCTCTCCAGCATGTTCTAGATCTGCTCAGACACCTTGAGGTGCCTGTGCTGAGACAGTTCTTGAACAGAAGCAGCTGAAACCAAATCTGTTGTGAGCTCTGAAAAAAACCCACACATTGTGAGGGTTTATTTCCCCTCCCTGGGGCAGAGCAGCAGCACATTTCCTCATTTCTCACTGCACTTTTCCTTGGGGCTCCAGGGCTGCTCCTGAAGGATTCTTGGGGTGCTCAGAGGAGAGTGCTCAGCTCTGCAGGGCTCCAGTCCCTCCCTGCAGTTGCCAGGATCCATGGACACATTTCCTGTGCCTGGGAACAGTGTGAGGGCAGAGAAACCACCCAGGGCAGGTGGGACAGGACTGGCCCTGGCTGAGCTGAGGTGGCAGGGACAGTTCCTGGCTCTGGAGGCATGTTGTCACTCATCAGGCTGGCATCACTGCTCTGGGATTTCATCCTTTCTGCAGCTTTGGCTGCTGCCAGGGGATGAGGAGCAGGGTTTGGAGCTGCTGTGAGCAGCAGCAGAGCCTCTCACACCCTTGAGGCTCACAGCTTCCCTGTCCCTCTGTTCCAGCGTGTACTGGGACTATGCCATGACCATTCGCCTGGAGGAGATCGTGTACCTGCACTGTCACCAGCAGGGTAAGGCCACAGCTGGGGCTGCTGGGGACTGTGACACCTGGCTCTTGATCCCTTACCTCTGGGACACAGAGGATCCCTTTACTCTGGGACACTGCTTCGGCTCCAGGGCAGTTCCCCAGAGTTCTGGGTGGTCACTATGATTTAAGTGCTTCTAGAAAAGTCTTCCCCCAACTCCTGGCTGTGGTGCTTGGCTGGGAGTGCTGCCTGCAGAGCAGGGCTCTGATTTCCAAGGGGGTGATCCCAGCAAGCCTTTTCCAGGGCCTGTCTTATCATGGACTTAGAGAAGAATCCACCCAAGGAAGAAAGTCCTTATTTTCCATTCCCTGAGCTTTCCTGCTTGTGCTGTTTCCCTCACTGATGGCTGTGTCTGTTCTCCCTGTTGCCAGCAGTAGACAGTGGTGGCACGGTTGTCCTGGTGAGCCAGGATGGCATCCAGAGGCCACCTCTGCGCTTCCCCCGTGGAGGACACTTGCTGCAGTTCCTGTCCTGCCTGGAGAATGGCCTCCTGCCCCATGGGCAGCTGGATCCACCCCTCTGGTCACAGCGGGGAAAGGTGGGTGCCTGTTCCTGCTGGGGTTTCCCTGTGGACCCTCTGCCTGGCATTAGCGGCTGCTGTGTTTTAAGTCATCCCCTACCCAAATTAATATTAATATTTAATAATTGTAATTAATATTAAAATGTGGTGTTTGGGTTTAGCTCATGGCCTTGCCCAGCTAAACAGACCCTTCTGGAAAGCTGGGGGGTGCTGTGGGAGGGCTGCCCGTGAGGGTTTGGGTCTTTGGGCTGCACCTACCCTGTGTCCAGCAGGGGTAGGGATTCACCTGCCACTGGAAACTTGATCCAGGGGCTGCTCCAGCCCAGGGAATGTGTAGACATGGCAAAGCAGGTGGGGCAGGAGCTTGGGAAGGGCATGGTTGGACACGGGTGGCTCGTGAAGGGCAGGTTGTGCTCCCCAGGGAAAGGTGTTCCCCAAACTGAAGAAGCGAAGCCCCCAGGGCTCCTCCGAGTCCGCGTCCGACAAGGAAGATGACGAAGCCACAGATTATGTCTTCAGGATCATCTACCCCGGGACACAGACAGAGTTTGGTGAGTGCAGGGCAGCCTTTGGGGGGCTTGGAGGAGCTGGGACACGGCGCTGGTGGGCACGGGGCAAACCGGGAGGTGGTTCCAGGGGAGGGGCTCTGCTTGTGCCAGTGCTGCCCGATTGAAATGTCATCATTCCTCCCTGGGAGGGTGGCAGGCCTTGGCACAGAGAACAGCCAGATGTGGCTGCACCATCCATGGAAGGCTCCAAGGCCAGGCTGGATGGGGCTTGGAGCAGCCTGGGATCATGGAAGGTGTTCCTGCCCATGGCAAGGGGTGGAAATAAATGATCTCTAAAAATAAATGATCTGTTTGTTTTTTTTTAACCCAATTATTCCATGATTCTATCTTTTGTTTTTGTGTTGATTTTTGTGGGTTTGTTTTTTTTTTTTTTTTTTTTTTTTTCTGGGTTTTTTTGTGTTTTTTTTTTTGGTTTTTTTTTTTTTTTGTTTTGTTTTGTTTTGTTTTAACTTCCACTTGGTACTGAGTCCTTTGTTTCTGCAGCTGCACAACAGCATTAATGGTCAGCAAAACCCCCTCTTAATAATACCCACATAATATCAGTAAAAAGGTTCCCTTTGGTCACTTGGGGGCCACCTTCTGCCATCACAAGCCCCCAGGGATGATTTTTCTCTTGCTGCCCCCAGGCTGCACTAAATCCAGTGATGTTCCTTCAGTGTGGCTCCTGCAGCACAAACAGGAGGTCCCAGCACCCTGCCCTGGGTGCTGCCTGGCTGCACCCACTGCCTTCAGTCCCTAACTGGAGGGAGGGGATGCTGCTGGATTCTCCAAAGCAGAAATGCCTCTTTATGTCTGGTGGTGAATGACCTGAACCTGGCTGAAATGTCTGTACATATCTCCTTGCTCTTCTGTGAGGTGCCAAGAACTGTTTTCTGACCTCTGGGGACATCATAGGTGACTTTAGAAGGGGGAGAAAATGAGTTTTATATGGAAGACTTGTGGAATGTTTTTTAAAAAAGCTCTGAAATTGGATGGGAACCTTTTTCCTACATTTTGGAGGCTATGAGGGAGAAATTACATCCGCTGTGACTCCTCCATAACGTCAGTTGAGATTATACTTGGTTCTCCCTGCCTTCAGCTGACTAACACAATTCAGTGAGTCAGATAAAAACCTGATTGGAGCTAAAACAGCAGATAGAGATGTGCCTTTCTGTGGCTGCCTTTTGATCTACCCCTTAAAATTCCATGCTGGGGGCCACATTTTCTGGGAAATGAATTGCTGCCACCTCCTCAGCTGGCATCATCACAGCCTGTGCTGTTCCTGTGCACCTCCTCAGCCAGGGGTGGAACTGCATCATTCTCTCTTCTCCACAGATTCTTCCTTTCTCCCCTTTCACTGGTGCCTTTGTCCTCTCTCTGTGTCTCTAGTTGCCATTAATGGTGCTTTTCACCCATTCCTTGCACCTGTGACTGCTGGGAGAGGGAAGATCATGAAGATTCCAGCTGGAAGCAAGATGGTGGTGATCCCCAAATGGTGTCTGAGTCTCCCTGGCAGATCCCGAGCTCTCCGTGCTGCTCTGGGCCCCTCTTGGCATCAGTGTAATGAGCTGTTGGTTGGGTCTGGTGCTCAGCTCACCTGTGTTGTCACTTGAGAGCTCCTGCAGAGCTGTCCCTGTCACCACTGACTGTCACTCCCTCAGTGGGAGGGGAAGAGACTTCAGTATTTTTCCTGCCAGTGTCATTTATTCCTTATCACAAGCAGGGAGAGCCAGGGAGACCAAGGGAGAGTGAGGACACCTTTGCACAGCCAGAAGATGAAATTTCTACCACAATTTAATTTCCAAGGAGGAGTAAAAAGGATTATTCCTCATGGCCTGGGCTGTGTGTAGGTGGTACCTGAGCAGGACCCAAGGCCTTTGCAGCAGCACTTTGAGTTTAAGCAGGGATTAACAAGTGACAACATGCAGAGCTCCTGCTGTCCCTCTCAACCTCTTTGTCCAAGTCTTCATCTCCTGTCTTGTGATTTGGGTGCTCCCTTCTTTCCCTGAACTTTGGATGGGATCCTTTGAGGGATGGATCTTTTCCCTTCCAGTAATCCACTCTTCCTGGGGCAGCAGCTGATTTCAAACCTGTTTTCTCTCTGGAGCCTCTGCGTTGGGTGTTGGGTTTCTGCCTTGGTCAGCACGAAGTAGTTTAAGATCAGCTTTCTGAATTAGCTGGTTAATTAGCAATGGTTCTCTCTCATCAGTGCACTTTGTTCCCTTTCCTTTCTCTTGAGCTCACCAGTGCTGTGATTCCCTGTGGTGGCTCCTGCTTGGTTGCTGGAACCTCCTTGGCAAGAGTGGGATGCTGCATTTGCCAATGAAAGCTCTCTCTGTAGCTCCCTGACTGCAGGGCAGTGCCAGGCTGTAGCTGATGCTCCTCTCTGCCCTCCTGCAGTGCCCCAGGACCTGATGGACACTCCAGGGGCTGTCCTGCCCGCCATGTGGCAGCCCAGCACCCGCAAATCCTCCTGCTCCTCCTGCTCCCAGAGCGGCTCCTCCGACGGAGGCCCGGCCAACGGCTGCAGCCACGAGAGGTACGAGGGCACACGGGCACAGCAGATCCAGGGCTCAGTGCCCAGGAGCCATGGCAGGGTCACTGGGATGTGGCTGAGGTGAGGCTTGTCCCTGCATCCTGGGACATGTCTGCTGCTCCAAGCCTGGCAGCAGGAATTGCTGCTCTGAACCCGGGCAGCATCCCTGGTGAATCTCTGCAGGCAAAGCTGGATCAGTGGGATCAAAGCCAGGCTGAGGGGATGCACAGGAGCATCTTCTCCCCTCACATCCTGTGTGTTTCTGTTGGCAGAGCTCCGCTGAAGCTGCTGTGTGACAACATGAAGTACCAGATCCTGTCCCGGGCCTTCTATGGATGTGAGTACTTGTCACCCTGCTGCTGCCCTGGGATGTGTGACAGGATAAGGGATGAGGTCCTGAGATCCTGGGCTGGGAGTGGTGCTGGGGGAGCTGGGACCAGCCTGCTGCACGTGCTCAGGGTGGGGAGCAAACAGCTGGGCTCTGACTGTCAGCCTTGAGCCCTGTGAGCAGCAGCACTGGGTTACAAGATGAGGGATTTGTCCCGGGAGACCCCCTGCTCCAAGAGCTGGATGTGGCTGCAGGAAGGTCTCCCCCAGGATCTGTGAGCAGCAGCACTGGGGGTACAAGATAAGGGATTAGTCCTGGGAGACTCCCTGCTCCAAGAGCTGGATGTGGCTGCAGGAAGGTCTCCCCCAGGAGACCAGAGCTTTCTCCTGCTCTTCATCCTCGTGTTTCCCAGAGTTCCCCAGCTGAAGGTGTGGTGTTCCTGCTGCAGGGTTGGCCTACTGCAGACACCTGTCCACGGTGAGGACCCACCTGTCGGCGCTGGTGAACCACAACATCGTGTCCCCTGATGTCCCCTGCAGTGCCAGCGCGGGGCTCACTGTGGACATCTGGCACAGATACCTGCAGGACAGCTCGGTAGGGCCATGCCCTGGGGACACACCAGCTCTGCCGGGCTCGGGGAGCCCAGGGCAGTGTCACTGGAGTGGGTGTAGCACGGGGAGGTGGTGAAACATGTCAAGAAGTTCCTCAAGGAGGGAAGGCAGCCAGGCTGTCCCAGGCTGCATGGAGCCTGAGGCTTCTAATCCTTGGCACGTGAGAGCTGAGGAGTGAGCACTGCTCTTCTTCAAGTGCTTCTGCTCAGAGCCTGCCTGCAGCAGTGTCTGTCACCCGGGTCCTGCTGTCCTGAATGGGGTCCTGACGTGCTGCCAGCTCAGGGGCACAGCAGTGGTGTTTCGGTGACTTTGTGGGCCACTCTTTGGTGTGGAGAGCCAAAATGTCCACCCACAGCAGCCTCTGGCTCTGCTTAAGCCCAGGCAGGGGTCTGAGGGATCACGGGCAGTGAGGCTGGGGGCTCTCTAACACAGAGACTAGACAGAGTTAAAGAATAAAGTAGGTGTTTATTAGAAGGCCTCAATGGGTCCACCTTGGGCAGCACAAGAGCCCAGCCAGGGCTACACCCAAGATGAGCCAAAATGGTCATGAAATGCATGACCAGTTACAGGGTCTCTCACTTCTCAAGTTCTGTTCCATTTGCATGTTGGAGCTAATTGTCCAATTACAGCTTTAGCCCATGAAGCCCTATCCTTGTTTTTCTCTCTTCAATCTATGTTTTTTATGCTCTTGGGCCTGAGATTTGGATCATTTGTCCTTGGTCCCCAACTAGAGAAGGAATTGTTTTGTCTCCCTACTCTGTGAAGAGAGCTTGCCATCCCCTCATATGAAGCTCAGAACTGCCCACCAAAGCAGCACAGAATATGAAAAACATAAAAACTAAAACCTGAGGCATCAGCTGTGGTGCTGATGGGTGGCACAGCCAGGCTGGGGACACCAGTACATCCTGGCTGTGTCTGTGCCCTGACCCAGGCTCTTCCCACAGAGTTACGAGGACCAGGAGCTGCTGCGGCTGATCTACTACGGCGGGATCCAGCACGAGATCAGGAAGGCTGTGTGGCCCTTCCTGCTGGGCCATTACCAGTTTGGGATGACAGAGGCAGAGAGGAAGGAGGTTGGTGAGGGTGTGCTGCCAGCTCAGCAGCTTGGTGTGCTCACTGGTGTGCTCTGGTCCTGCCCAGTAGCAGAGGTCTGTTAGCTCCATGGGAGATGGTTTGAAGTAGGGGTGAGGAGGAAGAGCATGTTCCTGGCACTAAGGGGCTGTGAAGCATGACATTGGGCTTCCTGACTCCGTTTTCCAGCGTGGAAGAAGCCTCAGCACACCCCTATGAGCCCACTGGGCCTCCTGTCCACTCTGGACTGGGCTGTAGGTAGGAGTGGGGCAAACCCTTGGGTCAGCAGGAATTGGTAGGGCCAAGCTTGTCACTGGCCTGTGCAACTCCTCGTGTTCAGTGCCTTGTGCACCTTGGGAGGGCAGGGAGGAGATGGATGGGCGTTTTTCCATCCAAATTTTGGCCACGTTTTGTGCAGGGTAAGGGTGGCTGTGTGCTGCGAATTCACACAAATGTGCCCCGCCCTGCGTGGGGCACAGCTGGGGCTGGTTTGGGGCTCTCCAGGGACAGCCATTGCCAGCCCCTGTCCCCCTGTGTCCCAGGCTGACGAGCAGACCCGGGCGTGCTACGAGCACACCATGGCAGAGTGGCTGGGCTGCGAGGCCATCGTCCGGCAGCGCGAGAAGGAGTCCCACGCCGCAGCCCTGGCCAAGTGCTCCTCGGGGGCCAGTCTGGACTCCCACATCCAGAGGATGATGCACAGGGACTCGACCATCAGCAATGAGGTGAGGGCTTGGGCAGTGCCCACCCAGAGTCCCTGTGGGGTGCAGACACAGGTCCTGCCCAGCCTCCTCCCCTGACCTGTGCCCACCTGTGTGTCTTGTTGCTCGCTGTGTTCTGTGGAAGTGAAATATTCATTACCTGATGCACTCCTGGGGCAGGCTTAGCTCCATGGAAGATGGTTTGAGGTAGGGGTGAGGAGGAAGAGCATGTGCCTGGCACTAAGGGGCTGTGAAGCAGGGCTTCCTAGCTCCCTTTTCCAGCATGGAAGAAGCCTCAGCACACCCTCAGTACACTGTGTCATCCATGGGGACACTCAGCACCTTGGGTACTGGCTTTTAGCAATGCAGTGAGGAATGAGATCCACAGCCCAAACCAAAGGGTGTGGAGGGAAAAGTCTGTGAAAGGAAAGGCAGTCCTGGGAACAGAGTCCAGGGAGTGTTTCCATGAGAGTTTTGTACTTGGAGGAGAAGAGCCCAGCATGGCAGAGCATTCCCTGACCTCAGGCTGCTGGCCCAGAGGGGAGGGGAGCACTGGAGATTTGATCTGCTTCCCTCTGGGAAGTTTATGTGGGTGCTTTGGGAAAGAGATGAGCTCAGCCCCAGTCCTGCAGGCTACATGTGTGCCCAGAGAGGGAGAGATGCAGGGAAGGCAGGTCTGAGCCAGGGGCAGGGTGGAACTGGATGATGCAGCTCTCAGAGGTGCTGCTCCATTGGCCGAAGCCCTGGGAATTATTCCTATCCCCTCAGCATCTCCACCGAGGCTCTTCCTTTGGACCCACGTGTGGGAAGGGAGCTGGCAGAGTGAACACATGCAAAGTTCCCCCCTTTTCCCATCTCAACCTGAAATTTCCTGTTTTAAGTGCTCCCATGGTAATGGAGGAAAACTGTCGCGCTTCCTTTCCCCACCAGAGTCCTGCCCAGCAAACACCCACAATACAAGGGTGGGGACAACTGCTGTTCTGAATGTGCTGTATTTTCTTAAAATCCTATTGTTTGTGTGTGATGTCATGGCCATGCTCTGCACCTCTGCTCAGTTAATAGGGAGGACTTGCTCTCATTGTGGGCTGGTTGTTCAGAGGGACCCCACAGAGCCAGGCTGGTCCCTCCAAAACCCAGCCCTTCCCTCTGTGCTTCAGCTGGAAGCCAGAACAGGGTGCTCATGACTTTGAGAGGAGCTGTTTCCACCAAGTCTGGCTTAAAACATCAATATTTGTCCTTGAAGAAAAGGAAAAAAGCATGAATATGCTTGGAGGGACTGTTTTATAGCCTGACTTCATCGTTTATGTAAACGGAGCTGGGCTGAGCTGCATTGCTGCCAAATTAGGACAGAGATTTGTAGAAATTCGCACTCCAGGGAGGCAGCGTGACCTCCATGCAGGCCAGAGGAAAGCAGCTCCTTCAGACCAAACACACAGCACTTGAACAAGTGCATTGACCTGACAAAACTTTGGCTTTGTCACCTCCCCAGCAGTGTCAGGGGCTGAGGCAGGACACTGTGCTGGGTGGTGCAGCACCATGGATGTGACAGGAAAATCATGGGTCAGATATTTACTGAATGCATTTTCTGCTTGTTCTTCACCTGCAGAAGTGCCACCTCTGCTTGAGTTCCCTCTCCCTGACCCCTTTGCTTTTCTTTTCTTTTGCTTCTCACTGCCCTTTTCCCTGTCCCCTGCAGTCCTCGCAGAGCTGCAGCTCTGGCCGGCAGAACCACGCCCGGCTGCAGAGTGACTCCAGCTCCAGCACCCAGGTAAGTACCTTCTCCCTCCATTCCTTGTCCCCACGGTTCTGCTTTCCTTGGGCTGACCCCTCACCACAACCACAGTGATTTCTGGTGATTTCTGACCTGTGTTGGAAGAGGTAAATGAGTCCCCAGCCTGCTTTGGAGCTGCTAATGTCAGATCTGTGCTCTGCTTAGGGTGTTCAGTGTTCACCTGCCAGCTCTGCCTGTGGCCTCACACCTGAAGGTCCATGGCTGCTCCCTCTGTTCATGCCCAGGTGTTTAACACCTCTTGAAATTTCTGCCCAGTATATAATGCCAAGCAAAGCAAAGTCCTTTGGAGCAGCGGTTTGTGGGCTTGGAGTTGTGCAACTGACCAAGCACTGACTCAGATCCAGGCAGAAGAAGCTAAAGGGGGATTTTCCTCCCTCTCCACTGCTGGGAACTTGGGCACTATGAGTACACAGCTCTTGGGGATGTAGTGCCCATGTTCCCAACATTTGCTGAATGCTTCCCACTTTGCAGGTGTTTGAATCTGTGGATGAGGTGGAACAGACTGAAGTAGATTCTCAGCTGGAAGATGGCAAACAAAGCAAGATCCCCAATGGGACAGTCCCCAACGGCACATGTTCCCCTGATTCTGGGCACCCCTCTTCCCAAAACTTCTCCATCACATCAGGGTTCTCAGAACGCAGCTTCAGCAACGAGGACAGTGCCCTGGAAACCACCAAATCCTCATCCAGCTCCCAGGGAAAGGCTGCTGGCTCCGACCTGCCAGCCCCACCGGACACGGACGGTGTCCAGCAGGAGAAGCTGCAGGGCCAAGACAGCCTGGAAGGTGAATTTCCCACTGGTGGAAGCGTGGATTTTGTCCCCATGGGTGAGGGCTCGGCGGGGCTCCTGCGTGACAGTGACACTGTGGCCCTGACTGTGGTGGAGAGCTGGGCAGACAGCGAGGCTGAGAAGCAGAGCCTGGTGGAGAGTGAGGACAACCTCTCTGAGGAGCCAGAGATGGAGAGTCTGTACCCACAGCTGGACTCTCTGACTGTGACTGATCTGACCAGCAGTGAACCAGCTGCTCTCTCCTCCACGGGTGTCACCTACTCTGTAAGTACAGACCTGGCATGGGGGGGTTCCTTCCTGGCTGCCTCCAGGACCACAGAGCAGTTGGGGTGGGAAGGGCCCTCTGGAGATCATCCCCTGCCAAGGGAGGGTCACCTGGGGTAGGTGACACAGGAATGTGTCCAGGTGGGTTTGGGATGTCTCCAGAGAGAGACATTCCATGCACTCCCTGGGCACTGTTCCAGGACTCTGCCACCCTGCATGGGAAGAAGTTTTTCCTCATGTTGTGTTTCAGTTTATGGCCATTGCTCCTTGTCCTGTCACTTGGTACGCCCGAAAAGTCTGGCACTCTTCTTTTGGCACATGATTTGAGATGTTTGTGTGGATTTATGAGATTTCCTCTCAGTCTTCTCTAGACTGACCAGGCCCAACTCCTGCAGTCTCTCCTCATCAGAGAGATACTTCAGACCCCAAATAATCTCTCTGGCAGCACCTTGTCTTTCTTGAGCTGTGGAGCCCAGAATTGAGCACCACACTCCAGATGTGCCTCACTGGGGCTGAGTGGAGGGGCAGGATTTACCTGCATTTACCCTGTGCTGATCCTGCAGTTGGGTGCAGAGTGACTCCCACCTTCCACCCAAGCTCTGGCCTGTCTCTCCACTGCCCTTGCAGCTCTCTCCCTGCTTTTGTAGAAAACAAATCAACTCTGCTCTTGTTTTGGGCAGCCAGAGCTGCTGGACATGTACACGGTGAACCTGCACCGCATCGAGAAGGATGTGCAGCGCTGTGACCGCAACTACTGGTACTTCACCCCCGCCAACCTGGAGAAGCTCCGCAACGTCATGTGCAGGTGGGGGCTGTGGGGGCCTTCCTGGGATTCACCTGCAGGCTGGAGCCTCAAACTGTGGTGTGGTTATGGAGTTTTGCTCCTTGCCTTCCTCCCCTCATCACCCAGCACTGGGGCTGCAGCTCCGAGGATGTGGCGGTTCCCAGACCGAGGTGTCCGGCTGTCCTTCCCCATCACTGCTGTGTCCTGGGGTTTTGGCCAAGGCATGGGCTCCCTGGGCTGCCCAGGAACCAGTGCAGCCCACCTGCTTCCTGCAGCATTCCTGGCAAATGTTTTAATGAGGGTCAGCCCACAGAGCTGTGGTGCTGATGAGAAAGTGCCTGAAGCACTGGAATGGTTTGTGCCTGCCCGAAATCCCAGGAGAGAGCCAGACCTGGGTGTATTTCTGAGTCCTTGTGACTCAGAGCTTGCTAGTGACACTCACACGCTCAGACCAGCTCCAGCTCAACTGCTGCTTCACAGGCAGCAAAGGCTGAAATATTGTTACTCATCTTGCAAACATGAGGAGAAGCTGCTTTTCCATCAGTGCTGTCACTTCACCCGACAGCCAGAGCTGGAGATCTCTGCTGAGATTAGACCTTCAGCACAGCACATTTTGGAAAACCAGTGGGCAGGATGGAAAAGAACTTTCCCTTGTGCCAGCAGCAGATCTGAGTCCTCTCCGAACACATTTTGCCTTGCTACCAAAAAAGGGAAGATATCCCTGCAGGGCTGGGTGCTTCCTGGGACACTGGGAATGGGAAGGGGAGGCAGGCAGTGTCTGCAGAGAGAACCAAGGGGATGAATGGAGGGAGAAGGATGAGAATGAGAGATGAACAAGTTCTATGTCTCTGTCCTTTAACCAATGACCCCACTGTGCTATGCTTTGCCATTTTGCTTTTCCCTGTGCTGATGTGCCCTGCACAGCCGTGGCACAGCCCTGGATTGACCCTGGATGTGGCCATGGCAGGGTGTTGATCCAGGACTGTGCCATGCATGCCTTACCTGAGAGGCACCAGAAGAATTTAATCATTTACAGCATAGGGATAACAGAATGTACAGGTATGATTTACCCCAGCATCCTGGGAAGGGAGACAGGGCATGGGCAAAAGAGGTGACAGGTGGTGGCACTCAGGTCCCAGGTCACCTCTCCTGCTCTCTCACACAGCTACATCTGGCAGCACATTGAGATTGGCTACGTGCAGGGCATGTGTGACCTGCTGGCCCCTCTCCTGGTCATCCTGGATGATGGTGAGTGGCTCTGCTCTGCTTTCCCTGTCCCTGTGTGGGGATCTGTGTGGGGATGTGCCAGGTGGGTGGTGGCCCTTTGCAGTGGAGTGCCTGGAGGTGTGGAGCAGGATCCTGTTTGTCTGTGATGCTGTCTGGCTCCCAGGAGCCCACCCTGGGGCCAGGCTGGACTTTCTGGAGGGATGTTGCTGCTGCAGGAGCAGCAGTGGCCATGCAGCCCTGCAGTGATTCTCTCTTCCCTGCACAGAGGCTCTGGCTTTCAGCTGCTTCACGGAGCTGATGAAGAGGATGAACCAGAACTTCCCCCATGGAGGAGCCATGGACACCCACTTTGCCAACATGAGGTCGCTGATCCAGGTGAGAGTTCCTGGCATGGGGATGGCGGCTCCTCACACCCAAGGGGGAAAGCTGGTCCTGGAGGGGCTGGGGTGGGGTTCAGTGTTGGGGAGCAGGAGGGACAGGGGCTCTAAGGACAGCCTGGAGCAATGTGTGCTAGGAAAGAAAGGGAGGAGCTGGTGCAGGAGGGGAGCAGTGGAATGGAGGGAAGTAGGCAGAGGGATGGCTGGTGCCTTGTGTGTGCATTCCTGAGTTTCCTTTTGCTTTTCTTGACAGATTCTGGACTCTGAGCTCTTTGAGCTGATGCACCAGAATGGGGATTACACTCATTTCTACTTCTGCTACCGATGGTTTCTCCTGGACTTCAAGAGAGGTGTGTGAGACCACCCAAGGGTGGGGCAGGGTCTGCTTCCAGCCTTCTCAGCAGGTTTAAACTTTTTTTAAAATTCCTTTTCATTTTTCCCTGGTTTATGTTTGGCTGATTGTTCTGTCTAGATACAGAACCTGTTGTTCCAGACCTGTTGCTGAGCTTTTCCATGAGTATGTCCTGGGGCCTGTGTCATCTGCTGCTGGGCAGAATATTTCTCCCTACAGATGACTGACTTCTGCTTCCAGCTGGAGCAGGTTCCTGTGGGAAGGAAGCACCCAGTGTGTCTCTCCAGTGCTGCTGTGAGCTGTGTGAGCCTGGGTGGGGTGAGTGGAGTGGTAACTGCTGTTCTCTGCTCACAGAGCTGGTGTATGATGATGTCTTTGCTGTCTGGGAGACCATCTGGGCTGCTGCTCACGTCTCCTCTGCTCACTACGTGCTCTTCATAGCCCTGGCCCTGGTGGAGATGTACCGGGACATCATCTTGGAGAACAACATGGATTTTACAGACATCATCAAGTTTTTCAACGGTACAGCTCGTGCTCTGTTTGGCTGAGTTTGGGGCAGCTGCTCAGGTGTGGGAATGTTTAACACCCAGAGCTCTGAGGGATCTGGTGGGGCTGGAATCCACCTGCCCTCCTCAGCAGTGGCCAGCCTGGATGTGTTGGAGGGAGCTGAGGTTTGGGCTGGTTAAGGATGGTTCTCCAGAGCCAGGTGTCCCTGCCAGGGGAGGTTGGGAATGTGGGGTGGGTGCTGCTCTGCTCTGACCTGTCTGGTGTGTGTTGCAGAAATGGCCGAGCGCCACAACACCAAGCAGATCCTGAAGCTGGCTCGGGACCTGGTCTATAAAGTGCAGACTCTGATTGAGAACAAATGAAGGACCCGGGGCAGATGAGGCACACAAAGAGGCAGGACTCCCCTCCGACGCTTCCTCCCTTCTCCTGTTTCTCCAAGTGCCACACCTGTGGGACTCAGGTGGTGGGACACGTGCTGCTATGTGAGCTGGGAGTCCCCTGGGCTCAGCACAGGCCCAGGCTCAGACCTTCTGCAGTGACTCAACCAAAGATCCCTCCAGGTGTGTTCCTGTGCTGGGAGCAGGACCAGGCAGTGGCTTCCTGGCCTCGGAGCAGCTGCTGTGGCCACCAAAACTGCTCAGGCACTGCCACATCCCAGGGTGGAGCTCGGGGGCTGGGAGAGCAGGGCTTGGTGGCACAGAGGGAAAGCTGATTCCTTGGAAAGCTGCTTCCTTGGGCAGCCCTTCCCAGTGGTGTGGGAAGGCAGCCAGCCCTGCGAGCACAGGCAGCGCAGGGATGCTGCCAGTTCTCTGCTTCTCACCAACACAATGAAGTTCTGCCAGTAATGGGGGGCACTTTGATCACAGAAATTCCTCTTTTGATCTTGTCCCTCAATGCATTGCTTCCCCTTCAGTGTTATCTTTTTTTAGGGCTCTGTTTTCTCCCTGGGATTTTACATTGTTCCTACAATATCTGAGCACACAAGAGGTTCGTGTCTGGATGGATTTTCAGAACAGCTCCAAATTCAGCATTGGGGTTATTTTTCAAAATCCAGCCTCTTTAATGTTCTCTGAACGCTGGGAAATCTGGTCCTGACCTCCTCTGGGAACTCCAGGGTGGAGGTTTTCTTACCTGCCTTACTTTAGCTGCTTGTGGTAGGAGTCTGGTCTCTTGTTGTTCCTCTGAGCTCTTGTGAGGGAAGGGCTCCTCAGAAGGTAAGTCAGAGCTCCTGATTATCCTGACTTTCCCTCTGACAGCTTCAGGGCTGGCTGTTGAGTCCCTAAACCCACTGAGCATCTCCAGTTAGGTCTTGGTGGGCTTTTCCCACAGGCCTGTGAGAGGAAAATAGCCCAAGGTCCCTGAGTGGGCTTTGCTTTGGGAAGATGCACTTGTGTGGCCACTTTTCCTGCACAGCCTGGAGCCCACTGCATGAAGTGCCTCTCCAGCTGCTGTGTCCCACACAGGCTGCCCTGCAGAGGCTTCGGAGTAATTTTTCAACTCAGGTAAAAACAATACAGGAAAAGGAGAGGGGTGGGTGGATGGAGGGTCCAGCCCAGCCTGGGAGGGCAGTGCTGGGGGTGCTGGGCTGGAGCTCTCTCTGAGGGTACTTTCTCTCAAGTTTTGCTGCAAACATTTATGTTCCCCCCTGGTGCAATGTGTGCTGTGTGTGTGCTCTCCTCTGGCACTTCTCCTTGCTGCTGGAGTGCTCCCACAGGAGGGAAAGGGGCCCTTCCTCCTCCTGTGGAACATCTGTCTGTGCTGGTTTGTGTTGGCTCGTGGCACGTGTCAGATGTTGCTGGAAGAAAAAAGGTGGTTGTCAGTGTGCACAGGAGAAAAGTGCTGCTTCAGGGAAGGTCTGAGCAGCGTGGTGGAGTGGTTTGCTGTCTCTGAGCAAATCAGCAATTTCTGTATTCTGGGACATGGAGGTCACAGCTGGAAAAGGCAGTGGCACGTCCTGAACCCTTTGGGGAAGGAGCTGAGGCAGGGGGAGAGCAGTGGGCAGCCCTTCACTCCTCATAATCCCAACAGATGTGTGCAACAATCTGGGAAATTCCCTGAAGCAGTAAAACCCCACAGGGTGCTGGGCTGCAGTAGCACAGGAAACAAAGAGCTTGAGATCTGCCAGTTCCTGAGAATCTTTCATCTTTCCACCAAGCAGTGAAAAGCTCGTGTCCTCCCTCCTTCCAGGCTGCTCCTGTTCCCTCAGGGCTCTAGGACAGGTCTGTCACCTGTCTAGAGGGAAAGGGAAGTGTTTGTTCTCCCTTTCCTGAGGGCCAGGGACCTACAGGTCACCTTAAACATCACCTGACCAAGCAACATTGCTGACACTAAACCTTTCAAGCTTCTTTCCTTGGTTTTTAAACAAAAACAGCCAAGAAATTCTGCACAATATTTGCTGTCTGTATTAACTGAGAGTGTCTTTGGGCCGCTCAATAGCAGTGTTTTTTGAATAATTTCTTGGGGGGGGGGAAAGTATTTATTTATTGATTGTACCTGACTGTGTGTCCTTGTGTGCTGGCGTATGAGTGCGCGCTGTTGTGCAAATGGAGATAGAAATTTTCAATGTTATTTACGATATCTTGTAAATGTTTACCAGAGAATTGTGTCTATATATAATATATATACAGTATAGAGAGAAAATATGTCAACTAAGTGGGTTATTTTTTGAGGGGGGGGTGGGTGAGAAATCTTTTGCTTCAAAGAACTGTGTGGTTTCTATAGCACCTATTCCATGATGTGCCAATTTGTCACTGTCCCTGTGCTGGGAGAGCTGTTCTGGTGGGGCAACAGGGAGCTCAGAGCAGAGCCACCATCACAACCTCAGTTTGGCTTCATCTTGGTTCTGACTTTAAGACTGGACAAGAGGAAAAAAAAAAAAAAAGAGGGAACACTAATATAAAAAAGATATATTTCAGCTGTATTGCTGGGCAAATTCTTGTGCTTGTGGAGACCCACAGTGAGACCACACCAGGAGCCTGGGGCACTCTTTAATGCCTAAAAGCTGCTAAGAAGCTGAAAAGCAAAGGTTTTGCTGTGCAGCTGTTTGTGGATCTCCTCTGGGCTCAGCCTCTCCTGCCTGGCTCTGCCCCCCTGCTGGATCCCCATGAGATAAAGCCTTGTTCTGGAATTCTGACAGGGGCAGTCGTGGTGCTGGAAGCCAGCAGGGATCTTTCCCAGCTGTGCAGCCCAGGATGGCCTGTTTGCCACGCAGGAGAGGCCTGTCACCAGGCTTGTCCATATACAGTAATCTTGTCTGGCCCCTTGGGGAAGAGGAATGTCTCATCCCAGCAGCTCTGTGCAGCTGAAATCCCCCCCACAATGGCACTGCCAGCCCAGGACTATTTTAGCCTGTTGTTGGCTCTGTGGGAACAGGGGCTGGAGCTCTGTGCCTTAAACTGACAGAGGGCAGGGTTCGATTGGATTTTAGGGAGAAATTCTGCACTATAAGGCACTGGCACACCCTGGATCCCTGGAAGTGTCCCAGGCTAGGTTGGACAGGGCTTAGAGCCACCTGGGCTAGTGGAAGGTGTCCCTGCCCATGGCAGGGGGTGGAACTGGGTGATCTCTAAGGTTCCTTCCAACCCCAACCATTCCATAACTCCACGCCTTCTGAGGAGATTGCTGCAAGGGTGGCATGAGCTGCCAGCCCACGTTCTCTGCCCCAGTCACTCCAAGCTGAGCCTGAGGAAGGAAGGAAGGATGGGCTCCGTGGGCTGAGTTCAGCTCCCATCCCACCCTCACTGAGCTCCCACATTGCTGTGGGGTTTGTGGTTTGTCTCACACTGAAGCTGCTGAGCTCAGATAATCTTGGTGTGTGTAAATCCTCTCAGTGTTTGTGTCCTGGCCCTGTGTTCCCCTGAGGGAGCGACAGACGGAATCTCTTCCTGCATTTGAGCTTTCTGCTCTTGCAACCTTCCAACCAGCTCTTGGTACTCATCTCTTTTGGTGTCACCTGTGCAGACCCTTCAGAAGTTGTTTGTTCCTAAATGTGTGATTTTCCTAGGAGTTTTTCTCTTGCTGTGTTGAGTCCCTGAATGGCTTTGCTGTGAATGTTTTTTATGAAGACTGAGGGGGATTTTTTTGTGTGGGAACTTCCTGCTGTGTCCCTGTCCTGCTCTCATCCAGCTTCTGGCATGGGGAACATAACTTACCCAAATGCACCTGGTAGTGCAATGTGAGCCATCAGTGGAAGTGCAGGTGTCAGCCCTTGTCAGTGACAGGTGAAAAAAGGCTGAGAGATGGAACTGTTGAAGGGGTGGGTCCCAAAATCCCTGGGGACACCAGCCTTGTGGCCAAGAGCAGTTTATGGGTTGAAGTTCTTATTCTTTGGTTTTTTATTTATTTATTACTTATTTTGCCTGACTATTTCCCCTCTCTTTCCTGGTTTTTCCTGAGGTTCATCCCCTGCACTGGGAGCCACTGTAGCCAATGGGCCTCTGACCAGGGATGTCCAGTTTTGGTTTCTCATCCCCTAAGTTTGCTTTTGAAATATCTTCCAATATCTAAATTCCTTTTCTCTAGAGGCACAGTGGGAGCCTCTGAGCCTTTGATCAGAAGAACCAAAATGATGGCCATGTCATCAAAACCTCTGTCTTATTTCTCATTCCATTTGGGAATTTCCCTGAGTGCTGAGCAGTTCTGGGCTTGTCTTCAGCATTTTACTATGGTGTGAGCACAAATTGATAGAGCACAATGTAGAGATGGGGTTCCAACCCTTCCTAGCACTATGGAAGGGTTGGAACTCACCAGAACCTGTGTCAGAAATTTCTGTAAAAGTTTTTTCAGATGCCCTGAAGTAGATCAAATGCCACTGATTGTTCCTGATTGTTCCACTCAAGGTCAGCATCCTCATTGCCCTGAATAAGCAATATTTCACTAATTAAGGCATCTAAACAATTGTGGTTCTCAGTGTGATCACTTTTCTCTCCTCTGGTGGCCAGGTGGGCCATGGCTGAGGCCATTTGGCACCATAGCCACACGTTCACACAGCTCAGTGTGTGGATTCCTTCCCAACTTTGCCCGAATCCTGAACTTCCTGGAGAATGTACACAGTTGGAATAGGAGTGGAAGTCTCTTAATGTGTCTAATCTAATCTAATTTTTAATTTAATTTTAGATTGGTGCATATTCCACCTTAAATTCCTGTTCAGTAGTTTAATAGCTTCTTTTCATAGATGGATTTTGCACATGGAAGCTGAGCAGAGCCTGTGGATGGTGCTGCAGGGGACAGTCCCTTCTCCATGGTGGTTCCTGAGCCATCAGCAGTGGGACATGACTGGGAGCAAGGGCACTTTGCATCAGTGCTTTGATGAGGGGAGGAAAAAGCACCATTTATCCTTTTTTTTTTAAATTATTTTTTAACAAATTAATGCTACAGATTAAACTATGCACAAGATCTTAAATACATGGAAGTTTTAGGAATGAGTATGGCTTTGCTGCTAAGGACAATAAATAATTGAAAATCCTGATCCTGGATACTGAGAGACTACAAATGTAATTGTTGTGACTATGTAAGATTGACTTAAATTCTCAGAAATTCATTCTCTCTGGAAAGTGATTCCCAGAAGCCAGGGAAGAAATTGTTTTCCCAAACAGAATTAATGAAAAGCTTTGAAAATGCAGCGTGGATGTAACCTCAGACCCATGATTGTCACTTCCCTTGTTCAAAGAGTGTTCTGGAGAGCCAGGCTGGGCAGCAGGGTGTGACAGCCATCGTGGGGGGCTCTGTGGGACAGGGAATTACCCCTCAGCACAGGGATTTGAATGTATCTGTTGTCCTGGCATTAGACTTTTCTGTTGCCCTACACAGAATTGCTGCTTTTCTCTGTTGGATGCCATTTTGGTCTCTGGGAGTTGCTCGATCTGAGCTTAACGAGCACTAACAGCTTTTAATCTATTTGTAGAAGTGCTGCTAATGTTCTTAGATTATCTGAATGCCACACTGTGGTAAAATATCTGTTTTATATTATTTTATTCATGCTTTTGAGGTTTTTTTTTTTTAATGTAAACTGTTCCTTATTGTTGTTGAGAAAGAAAAATTAAAGCTCTATTCTCTATGGTTAATGTATTTTCAAATCAATCAGATCTTGGTGGTTCTTTCTGTCTGCGTGGTCCCTGGGGAGGCAGTGAATGGGAATACCCTGAGCAGGGAGTGCCCAAAATGCTCTGTATTTCCATGCTGCTGACGGATTTCAGAGCCTCCTGTTTCTTGTGATGAGTGTCCCCTGTGCTGGGGGGGACCTGGGATCCTTTTTGCACCCTCCTTGTCCTCATGGTCCTCACTTTCCCCCATCCCTTGGCCTGCTCAGTCCAGCTGACACCTGGGCAGATGTGTGGCACTGACACCTCCTTGGCCCTGCTGGCACTGTCACCTCTGTCCTTTCTCTTGCTGTACCCCCCTGTAATGTGGAGATGTAAACTGATGGTGAAACAGAGCCATGGAAGAGGAGGAAAAGCACTGAGGAAGAGCTGGGCCAGGTCCTTGGTGCTGCATGGAGTGAACTGCCCCTCCCAGAAGAGGAGGTGACAGAGGGCCCTGGCATGGTGGCAGCCCAGAGCTGGGCCGTGGTGGTGATGGTTTGTACCTGTGTGTGATCCTGTGCTGCCAGGTGAGCTGGGCAGGAGGTGAGGGAGTGCATTCTGCAATGGTGCTCAGAATGACCTTGGACTTGATGTCATTTTCTTGCCTCAGTATTTCCTGGATCAGTCTCCAGACCTTTAAACTGGCAGTGATAGGATGGGCTGCAGTGCCT